TGCTGCAGTGAGCAGTTAGCTGTGTGTGGCCTGTTTCAGCTCTTGTGCAGCAATGTGTGTGGCCTGTTCCAGTGACAACGAGGGCGCCGCCTCGCTGGCCGACCTCAGCCCGGCCCAGGTGTTCGCGGCCGTGGCGCTCTGCCTGCGTCTGGTGCTGCCTCAGATGACAGACACGCTGGCCGCCAGGATGCCCGCCGCACTGGCGGCCCGGCTCAACATGTGCAGCACCATGGCCGACTGCTGTAAGGTGTGTAGACTGACGTGTCAGCCGCTGCAGACTCGACTGACGGCCGGGTGCTGACTCGACTGACGGCCAGCGGGTGCACGGGACGGTCTGCCTGTGATGTGCGCAGACAACAGAGAGGGCCTGGTGAGCTGCTGGCTGCTGAGCAGTGAGGGGGGGGGGGGGAGGCGTAGATATGTATAGGCTCCGATGTTTTAGATCCGTTGCACTGTGAGTGTGTTTCCCTGTGATCTTCCAATGCATTTGGCTAAATATGTGCGTTTTGCGTTTAAACAGGTCATCCTCGCTGCCCGTCGAGGTTGACTGCCTGGTTCGTTTCGTAGTAAGGCGCTCTAAATTTGGGAACGCGAGACCGTTGCTGCCATTTTCAAGTATTCTTCTCACAGAAGCCAGCTGCGGTGTGGCCGCATAAGGGAGTAGGGTGCAGTAGTTTCACAATCAATGATGGTCCAGCCAGGTCCAGATAGGCCATATATATCCTTGCTGTACCACCATTCCGCGTTTAATGGCGAAGATAGCATGACAATGAGGAAGAGCTTTACTTGGGGCAACACTATTCATCTCGGCCATCTTGTCTGGCTGTAGCGAGGTCATGTGCGGCCAATGTGCCGCTGTTGCCCGCTGACGTACCGCTGTTGCCCGCTGACGTACCGCTGTTGTCCGCTGACGTACCGCTGTTGCCCGCTGACGTACCGCTGTTGCCCGCTGACGTACCGCTGTTGCTCGCTGACGTACCGCTGTTGCCCGCTGATATACCGCCGTCTCCCGCCGATCGAGGCATCACTCATGTATTGCATCACAGAGTCATGGTGATGGTTACAGGATCTTGGCTTTAGAGGTGATCTCGGCTATCAGACCTTTCTGTATGGAAGCACAAAGGAAATTAGGAACATAATCTCCTTCCTGGTGGACAAGTTTCCAAAGCAGGATACCATGGTACCGGAGTCGCACGTTGGTAAGCGTTACCCTGAGATTTATCATTGGAAGATCTTGCACAGTTATGGACTCTGAATGCCGTTTTGCAGCTTGTTTATGGATGTAAGTCACTATGCGGCATTCTGTGTCGTATTTTGTGGTCTTCCATACCATTGTGTGAACAGTATTCAGGCATTTCAAGTGGTGTAAGTTCATACGCGTGCCAGGCTTGTGTCCAAGCTCTCCTGGGCAGGAATCGGGTCAGTTCACTTTGGCAGCTCAGCGCGGAATCATAACGAGAGTCAACCCCACACTCTGCGAGTCGGGTTCAGAGTCATTCCCGATGAAGCGGATTCCAGTGCAAGGCTGTCTGCGTCCTGCCCCTTTGTAGATCCTACCCTGTTCACATCCTACCGCTGACATCTTCTTTCGCCACTTCGCTCACTTTCTTTTTTGTCCCCTCCCCTATCGCCCCGCTGCCTCTGTCGAAAAGGGGCCGAAGTCCGCAACATTAAAAACGACTCTCAGCCCGACCCACAGCGCGTGGAGTTGACATTGACTCCGACTTTGAGCTGATCTGCACAGCTGGAAGCTGATCCCATCCCAACTCAAGGAAGTGTAACACAATCTTTAAACATATTGACCAATGATCTAGTGTAATTTGAAACTGTGCGTACCCAGGTCAGTGTTATTCTTGGCTTTCATCCTCAAGGGTGTAGCCGGCCGTCTGCGTGCGTGCGTGCGTGCGTGCGTGCGTGCGTGCGTGCGTGCGTGTGTGTGTGTGTGTGTGCGCGTGCGTGCGTGCGTGCGTGCGTGCGTGTGTGCGTGTACATGCCTGTGTGCGCTACCAGACGGGCGAACGGCCGTCTGTACGTGTGTGTGGCTGTGTGTGCGGCCAGACGGGCGAACGGCGCTGCTGAGCCGGATGAGAACGGCGCTGGGTGAGGCGCTCCAGCAGCCGTGGACGCCCCACTACTGCCGGCCGCCCGCCCACCACGTGCCGTTCACCACCGACCCCATCTCGCTCGACGCAGGTGACATCCGCTGCGGGCGTAATGTGACGCCCGCGCCGAGCGGCTACTCTCAATTGGAGCGTTTGGGATCAAATTGCGAACTGAATTCAAAACGAAAATCGCCGACATTTTCCTTACTCAGCTATTCTGGATTGGGGTCTAGCACATGCAACCGTGAACAGACTCAAAAACGGGACAGTGCAATCACTGGCCCTATTCAGAACGCCCACGTAAAGATAGCGTGTTGACCTGGGATGAACTCCGATTATCCACGTGACCGCAAATCCAGAAGCTATCAATCACTCTTCCACGTGCAGCTTCGGAAGCGGCACAGCCCGAACCCTACCAGAGCTACCGTCCCCGCTGCTCACCAGCTGGACGTGGACGGAGCGCCGCGCAACGCCAGCGCGCTGACACAAAAGCCGATCAGGCCTCCAAAGATCGGCCAGCCCAGCTGCAACAAAACTGACAACAACGGCCTACTGCAATACAAACAACAGACTGGCCAAGTCCTTCAAAAACCAGCTGACGCAACGACAGGATTGGAGATGATCTCCTATCTTACTCTCTCGAGTCACGATGGGGATCCACCCTGCACACTAGGTGGATGATCGGTTTTTAAAGAAGAAAACGGGTACACCTTCAACATGCAACAAGCAAGCTCATACAAAGCCGTACGGACAAAAACACAATGTGCTAACTATTGCATTTTTCACGTCATCTCCAACACGCACGACAATTTTGTTTTCCATTGGTACAATGAGTTGCTCACCTGCAACTTGAAAATTGCTAACCGTCGCAAACAAATTGGTGTCATGCCCGATGAGAAGAAGGGCTTTGCAGCGGCGAGAGTTGGGCGGCGGCCGGCCGCGCATAATAACATCTGAGCGGGACGGCCTACGGACGTCTTAGTTCCAATCGCCGCAGCGATTGAGCCGAGCCGGGCGGAGCCCCTGAGTGTGGGTTCAGCTGCTGCGGTGCTGTGCAGACGCCACGGGCGCCTACTTTAGAGGAGAGCTCGGTAGCCCGCACGTGCCGTGGATTCCTGCGGACGGTGTCTCCGCCATGGCGGCTACAGGTGGTGTGGCAGTATGGGCAAATGGTGGCGATGAGCAAGACCGTACGGGTAATTGCATCTTTCTCAAGCCTATCAGAATGGTCACGTGCAATGAAGCCATCGCGATCTGCAATATGCGGATTGAACTGTTTTTTAGAAACAAGGCTGTAGACCTGGCTATTGCTCAAAGCCTTTACCCGTGTTGAATGGAAGTGAATTCTCGTCGTTCCCATTGTGCGCTCAAGGGTGTAGTACATTCTTTGTAGCACGTCTGCGAGAGCTGGTGCCTGGTTGGCGGCGCGGATGGTGGCTGTACGACAGCCGCTCCGAGCGCTGACTGGGTACGTCCCGCCAGGCACGTTTGTAAACCTGCAGGCGCGCCTCAGCTCGACCGTGCTGCCATCTGTGCTGGAGTGGAGCGCGCGCCTGTCGGTGGACCCTGCCGTGGCCCGGACGGCCGGCCCGTCGCCACCGGCGGCTTCCCGGCAGGACATCTTGCAGGCCGAACAGCTGTACCGCCGCCACCAGACGCCAGTAAGTGTGTGTGTGTGGGGGGGGGGGGGGGGGGAGGGGGACGACGGCTTGCTCACACGGCCGCCGGACGGGGCTGGCTGTGTTGCAGCGCCATGTGGCGTCACGGGAGGAGGACGCTGCGGAGCCCCCGCCATGAACGGACTCTGCGCCGAGCGAGCGCAGTTTCGCATCGACTCTCGTGCCCCGATCACTGGGATGTACGTGTTATGTGTTCGATGTATGTGTTGTGAACACTGGGATGTATGTGTTATGTGTTCGATGTATGTGTTGGAGCCCCGCTGGTACCCAGGGCCTTCAGTGCCGGTCCCACCTCTCTCACCAGTCCAAGCCCATCGGTGTCCGCCGGACCGCTTCCACCCCCACACGGACCGACGCCTCGCCCTGCCACCAGGTGGCGTCGGAGCGAGCGCCCATCTCGCCCGCGGCGGCCGGCCCGGGTGCCGCGGCGGAGCCGGCCGCGTCTCTCTCAGCGGCCAGCGAGCAGTCAAAGCCGGAGCCGGAGCCGGAGCCTGACCGGCAGCAGGAGCTGCTCCGCGAGCGGGAGCGCGAGCTGGTGGAGACCACCGCCCGGCTGGAGCAGAGCCAGCGCAAGCTGACCAAGGGCAGCGACCGCTACAGCAGGCTGGCCGAGCAGTGTGTGGAGGTGACAGGTGGTGCTGGCGCCAGACGTCCGGGCGCCCACGCGGCTAACGTTGCGGCCGATCATGTGTGGGATGAGCAATAGCCCGTTAAGTTCTTGTCGTGCAGTCGGAGTCAGCTTGTGCTGCTGTGTTTGTAGTTGAGGCCTGTGTGCTATGTCGTCGTTTATCTCTAGATTGACGCATTCGTTGATAACATGTAGCCTTCACCTCCACCTCCTTCCCTGGTCCGTTTCCATCAGCACCGCTCATGTCTTCGTGGGGCGTCGCTTCATTGCCACTCCACATTGTCTGTCTAGCGTGACCTGCCTTGACCTAGTTTTACGCTCTGTAGCTGCAGACAGAGGCGGCGGCGCTGTCGGCGGCGCTAGGGCGGCGGCAGGCGGCGCTGGCGCTGCGGCGGCGCGCGCGGGCCGCCCTGGACGCCGGCGGTGACGCGGCGGCTGGCGCCACGGCGGAGGAGCGGGCACGCCAGCGCGCCGCCGGCCGCCGCACCGAGTGGAGCGCGCGACGCTCCGAGCTGCAGCGCGCGCTGGCCGAGCTGCGCCGAGACGCGCGCAACGCGCCGCTCGAGGAACTCGGCCGCCGCCAGCGCCAGCTGCGCGACGAGCTGGCGCAGCGCCAGCGCGCGCTGCTGGCGCTGCGCCAGCAGGCGGCTGGTATCACCAAGCACGTGAAGAGGTCAGCGGTTGGCTGGTGTAAACATGAGATTGTGGTGTGCTCAGCAGTGCTGTTCGGTGGGAGAACCCCTGCTGATGGCCTTTTGATGACGTCAGACATTTTGCTTTGGAATGAGCCGGTTTCTCGGAGGGCGTATTGAGTGACGTTGGCGTGTGCCATGCCAGATCATGATGTCTACAGATAGCTTATCTGCGACTGCTCTCGGGCCGGAAAAATATGAATGCTTGTCGAGCATCGTGTTCCGCTCAATCTGTTTGCTCGTATTTTGTTTCGTATGCCAGTTCAGTTACCAGTTCCGATCACAAACGTCTGTGGGGCAGCGGTGGCAGCTGTGGACCCGGTCTGGCCGTGGTTGGCGCGACTGCCTCATCGGACCGCATTTTCCAGGGCGGCCTACACGAAACGGATCTTAGAGATCGTCGGCAGTGTGAAGAAGCAGCGCCAGGCCATCTCAGCAACCATCGAAGAGACCAAGGCACTGCGGAAGAACATCAACATCACGTCAGACAGGATCGCCCGCACGTTCCAGATGGCGGAGGAGCTCATCTTCAAGGTGCCACGTGGCAGGCGGCCGGAGCGCTGCGCTCCCTTCAGACCATGGCTATGTCGAACTGTTGCCATGACGACGTTTTCAGACCATGACGTTTTCTCGGCAGTGCATGGCTTGTTCTCATGGTGTGGACGTCCGAAACCAATGGATGTGGAAATTGGGACCGTGGGATTTGTGTTTTAAATGCTTTGAGCCGGGGCGTGGGATCTAATCCCAACAATCTCGAAATCTATGAGGGGCGACGATTGTAAGAAGACTAAGCACATGAAGCATCTACCCAAAACATCTGCAGCAAACGCCAGGCAGATGGCCCCCGAGTCATGCCTGTCTCCGTCCGACCTTGACCTGGGGCCTGCGCACACGATGGGTAGTGGAGACATCGTCCGCGCTTACTTCGAATTAAGCCTTGTTCCTTTAGTTTTTCGCATGTCGCCAAGTTCGTTACGTCCGACCAACCTTTCTGATATAGTCCACCCCTTGAGGTAAAAGTCGCAGTGTCGCTTCAGGGGAAAGCTTGCATGACTCCTTTCCACAAGCTGTCAGTAGGGGCCGTCTCGCCGGCCGTGTGGCAGTGACGGCACCCTGTCGCCTCTGGCGCTGCGCTGACGGCGCGGCCGACCGTGCCGACAGGACGCCGCTGGGAACGAGTGGTCTCGTGCCTCGTACCGCGGCCTGGTGGCGCTGCACGACGCCTGCTCCGAGCTGGTGGCGCTGGTCGAGCAGACGGCCTCGCTCATGCGCCAGGGCCGCCGCGTGCAGGAGATGGTGAGAGGCAGGGGGCTTGACCCCGCCCTGGCACTGCTGGCCGGCCGCTGGCTCGAAAGAGGTGGAAATAAAAGGGTGAAGGATGTATGTTTGGAGGCTCTCTCGGCCGACCTTTGGACGTGCTTGAGGCGCCCTTTTTCATAGCTGCTTGGAGGGAGTATCCTTCACGCTGGTAGGTTTTTGTACGTACCTCTTTGTTGCGTCTCTGCCGATGGGTAGCCGTGTCAGTGGTTGTATTCTTTGTTGCGTCTCTGCCGATGGGTAGCCGTTGCAATGGTTGTATTCTTTGTTGCGTCTCTGCCGATGGGTAGCCGTGGCAGTGGTTGTATTCTTTGTTGCGTCTCTGCCGATGGGTAGCCGTGTCAGTGGTTGTATTCTTTGTTGCGTCTCTGCCGATGGGTAACCGTGACAGTGGTTGTATTCTTTGTTGCGTCTCTGCCGATGGGTAGCCGTGTCAGTGGTTGTATTCTTTGTTGCGTCTCTGCCGATGGGTAGCCGTGTCAGTGGTTGTATTCTTTGTTGCGTCTGTGCCGATGGGTAGCCGTGTCAGTGGTTGTATTCTTTGTTGCGTCTTTGCCGATGGGTAGCCGTGTCAGTGGTTGTATTCTTTGTTGCGTCTCTGCCGATGGGTAGCCGTGTCGGTGGTTGTATTCTTTGTTGCGTCTCTACCGATGGGTAGCAGTGTCAGTGGTTGTATTCTTTGTTGCGTCTCTGCCGATGGGTAGCCGTGTCAGTGGTTGTATTCTTTGTTGCGTCTCTGCCGGTGGGTAGCCGTGGCAGTGGTTGTATTCTTTGTTGCGTCTCTGCCGATGGGTAGCCGTGTCAGTGGTTGTATTCTTTGTTGCGTCTCTGCCGATGGGTAGCCGTGTCAGTGGTTGTATTCTTTGTTGCGTCTCTGCCGATGGGTAGCCGTGTCAGTGGTTGTATTCACTCTGAACCGTCGCGGCCATGGCCTCAGATCGACGTCGAGCGAAGCAAGCACGTGGAGAAGAACCTGGAGCAGGTGCGCTCCGACCTGGAGAAGGTGCGTCTGGAGAACCAGCAGCTGCGCGCCTCCTGACAGGCCGACCGGTGACCGCTGGCAGCCGCCGGAACCGGGCCTCACCGGCTGCGGCGCCTCACTTACAGCTGTGCCGCACCGTGCGCCGCGCGACCCGACCAGCGGCCAACACCGCACCTGTCGGTGCCCGATGCGCTCGTGGTAACGCTGAGCGGGCGGTGTTCCCGCACTGCTCTGAGCGCGACAGAAGCCGACTGGCGCCTGTGATAGTTTGTCATGAGTTGAGGATCGATCGATCACTGCCTCGTGACCATTTGGGACCAACCTTTGGTTATCAGACCTGAGCGCGTGGGCTGCCATCTGGTATGACGTTGAGTACCTGCCATAATGATAGCAATTTATCGTCATGTAAAGTGGTAGTGTCATACAGTTATTGGCCATCCTCAGCAAACTCGGCCGACGCATACAGATGCACCTTGCGCCGTCGCACGGGGCACCCTTGGCGCCTGATGTCAGTAAAAATAAATGTTAACTGAATAAACAATACTACGGTATGTTAAGACATTGTTTGACATAGAAGCGACCCGTTTCTGTAGTGGAGACTGGAGAGGGACCGCGCTGTTACTGCTTCCTGGCGTGACACCGCGATCGCTGTACAACCCCAGAAGCCGACGCTGTTCGCTGCGCTCTGTGCCGGCATTTTGATTTGCCTCACTGGTTGCTTAATTTGGTAGCACTTCTTTATGATTCTGCAGGTGTTCAATGTGCTTCGGCCTGGCGGACGGTTTGGAGCACACCAGAGCAAGGGCTGCTGGCGTTTGGTAACACAATCAAATCGCCTTTAGGTCGAGCAGGCTCCCAGCAAGCATTGCCCAGTCAATGGGGCTTTCCATCCGGCTGTTTCGACAAAGATCCTTGCTAGTGGTGCGAGAGAGCGTGTCAGAAATGGACTCGTCAGGGCTCGTGAGAGCGATTGACTTGGAAACATTGATTCATTGCGAAGCGTCACAACAGATACCGCAATCGGAAGAGCCAGGGTGTGCATGTCGCGGCGGCGCAGTGACGTATCGGTGAAGCATTGGTCAAGGAAACTGGTGCCAGAACATCGACGGCTTCTGGCCGATAGTCATTTTAACGCGAAATTGAAACGAATCGATTTCTCGGCACTTTATGTTCGGCCAGTTAAAAGCGGTACATGATCCATCGTGAACGGCACATTTCGAATCCCACACCAAGGTAACGTAATCTTCCACTCTGGCCCAAAGCTAGATGCAGATTAACCTGGTGGTGCTTTCATTTCCGAGCATTGCCTCGAGCGGCGAGTGCTGCTTATTGATAATCATTGGCAATCCTACAAACGGCGCATAACTACCAGCAGAATGCCGCTAAGCATATGCGTTGGAGTGGTAAAAGCCGGCGACAAATGCACGCTTCTTTCGCCAAAGGACAACTTTTGACAACACATCGCACGGATGGCAAAAAATTGCGCCCGCGCGCGATCGGAGTTCGCGCCACCGCAGACGGGCAATAGCGCGCTACCCGTTGAGTGTGTAATACCTCTATGAAGGGAAATGTGCAGCAGTCCTTTTCAGTATGCCCCTAGATGTCGCTACATCGTCAGTAAAAACACCAAACGTGACAGCATGATGAATAATTGTTCGTAAAGCGATGAAAAACAATAAATGGCGGGAAAAAATAATCTACACTGAGTGAAAATGAGAAAGACGGTTGTTCATGCATATAACATTTCAGTGATGCTCCTGTTAAAACATCGTGTAACCCACGTGACAAAAACAGCATCACTGATTGGTCGATATCGCATACTTGGACGGCCCGTGCGATTCAAATTTGCTTAAACTTCTCGGCCAACTTTCGGCGATCTTTCTGTGAGATTTTCATTCTTGACGGGCATCAGATAGTTCATAAATGCATTTTAATGTGATCTACATTTTAACTGCGTGAAGGACTTGCGATCTCCCGAGCTTCTCTCCCGGCATCGCTAGTGAGGTAAGGTGAATGCCGTATGGCGTCGCCATGCTTTGAAACCAGTGAATCTAAATGTTTTATGCTGATGCTACGATAAAAAATGGTGTGCGAGATTACAAACCACTACAGTACTGAACATGCATGCGCATTCTTCGTCCTGCTCGTTCCGTATTTCTTAATATTTGAGCTGTGTGTTTTAGGCATGTGATTGCTGTGTGACTGCAAGATGACCGGTTGCTTGCATTTTCATTCTTGTTGACTCTGATGTGTGAGAAATCAATGCTTGGCAGTGCATCACCAAACATTGATAGCCATCCACAGTAAGTGGAAGACTTGTTCTTGATTTCAGTTCCATGTAACTACATTTTAAATGCCAAACAGCCCAAGAAAATGTCTATGTTTAATCCCAAGCATCACAGTGCAACATAAGGACAAGTCTAGCTCCATCTAGAAGAAATGAGCACAAAAATGTCATGAGATTCATACCAAAAGAGCAAACTCTGATCCTAGCTGAAATCATTGGCTTTGATGTTCCGTGGAATTGATTCCCAGGAAGATAATTCAGGGAACAATGCATTGTGCCATAACCACTTCTATGCACTTGCTTGAAGCCTCCATATATTTAGTTGACAGCTTGCTTTGTGCAGCTGATTCATTTTTTATTATATAATATATTTGTAGATGTGCAACATATACCTATAAATTACACATCACCTACCTAGCTATGGGTCTAGGTATCAGATTGCGAGTATCTCATGTTGCTCACAATTTTATTCTAGTTGACTCATTGATTGTTTGGATAACTCAATTGTAACTCAGACTTGACCAAAAATGTCAGGAATCAGTGCAGATTGTGTTGGTAAGAGAAGTTTATCTTAGGCTTCACTTGATTTTCATATATATATATATATATATATATATATATATATATGTGCACATATATATTCTTTAATCACAACATTGCTTGTCTGATGTAGTGCTTTAAGCTGAAGCTTTGCCCTAATTTTTGTTCCATTTTTGAAATGAGCAGCAGCTAGAAAAATGAGGAAATGGATGTTTAATTCAATTTGCCAATCTTATCCCTGTTTGGGTTTTTTATTTGATTTTAGCCTTAATACTTTATTTATTTCATTGTATTTTATTTATGTTGTTTTTTCACCTTGCCTCTTTTATCTTGTTTGGACAAGCAAACAGAACGATTTTATGGCATAAAACGATGTGGAAAAACTTATTTTGCAGCGGAATAAGCACTGCAAACTTTGCACCACAGTTCTCGGAAGAGGAAAAGCTAGAGAGTTTTGAGCTCTTTTGTGATGCCACAATGCTATAAAAGGTGTGCTGTGCAACCTGAACGTGCTCGGGTTGAGTGGTTAATTGAACCCCTTCCCCGGCGGTTTTTCTAGACCAATGTATCCACGGCTCGGGGTAGGCGGACCAAACTTTCTTAATGTTGTAGCTTTCTTAATGATTGGAAAGACCATACTTACATGCAAAATTACATAAAGGTTGCAACATCGCGGATTTAGCAGGTAAAAGTGAGAACATGGGTGTCAGAGAAGCCCATCCCTTCGGCATTGCTCAATATGATGCGAGAGCGGAGTGCTAGACAAAGTCATGCAACTTTGAGGTGTTTTTTTATAGACAGTTGACAATTGCAACTAGCAATACAAGTTATTCCATTGACCTTATGTCAGGTTTCAAGGTCAGATCAAGGTGGTAACCGAACCACCTTGTACTGGAGAGTCGCGCGATACGGCAGTTTTAAACGTTCATTTCGAATTTCTCGATGGGGGGGGACGTCAAAAGATTGCTTATTTCGAGGTCATGAAGGTCAGGGGAGGTCACGGACCTACAATGACCTCGATCAACATTTTTTCCTAGGTTTATGCCGCGGAGGTATCACTCGGCGCCGATTATACGTACAAATGTCGGCAAGGCCTGTGGTGTCCGAATATTTACTTTTTCATGGTCAAATAAGGTCACTGACATGACCATCGTAGTTTTTTAAATCTCAGGGGCACAAATTGCCCTCCCCCACCCGAGCGCGTTGGACTCAATTGTCCACTCTGGCGTGTGTTAAAGTAACGATGCTTTTCATGATGAGGTGTGCTGTGCTTCACTGTGTCACTGTGTGTTCACTGTCACTTCACTTCACTGTGCTTCAACACATGAAACTGTGACACATCAAATAAAATGTCCTGCCCTCATCACCCACACTGGTGGAGCCACTACAGTATGGCTTTCTGCTTTGCAACCAGGAAGTAAGGGAAAGTGTCCCGCCTCAGCACAGCGGGTCTCACATGAAAGGCCGAGTCGCACCGGAAACACGAATATTTGAGGACTGAACATGAAACATCAGCTGGTTATTTTTATTCCTTACAGACATTGTGGCTTATTCCTCAAGGAACGAATATAAATCATCAATGGAAGTGTGGTGAGATAAGAGCTTTTTCTGTCTGGCATCGGTAATGAAAGCAAGTAACAATACCGTTCGCTTTACAATGGATGCCGCGGACCGCATGACGCTGCGCCAGCTCGGTGGTGCTGCCGGGCTTGACGATGGCGCGCTTGCACAACAGTCTAGACAGCTAGGAGGGTGCTCGGCGTAGACGGCTAGCGGGCGATTGTCATGGAGCGAACCTCACGCAAAGAACGCCACGTTATGCTGCACCTTCTGCACCCATTAAACTGTCGTGCAATTCTGTCGTGTCGTGTGGTGCGGCCAATTTACCACTTGAATTTGTATAGCATTCACGGTTTCATTTCCATGCTCATCATTCCTGAGCATTCATCGGTTTCCGTCTCTGTCTACCTGTCCAATTGTCTAGGCTTCCTTTAGCCGTAATAATACATTCGTCACGAACAAATATAAGGTGACGAGAAGCTGGACAATGGTGGCGAAAATTACTCGGAATATTGCTATGCTACGACCGAAGGCATGGGTCTGCTAGACCTGATTGACCCCATGAGCCCATGTGCCAAAATCCAAAGTTATGCCACTAGAAATTTGGCCGTATTTGCGTACAGCAGATACGTATATCTCCCGAGTATTGCACCAGGTCGGTTATGAATATGGAGACGATGGAATTTTCAGTTATTCGGCACATTTTGTCCACACAGAGGTTTATGTTTATGCTCGGTCGGCCGATTTGCTTTCCGTCGACTGGTATGACGTATAGATCCCCCGGTGTATTGCAGGAGCTCACTTCGATCACCGTGCAGTGCGTCACCTGATCGCGATGGCCGGAAACGAAGGCGGGAACAACCGGATCGCTGACCTGATGCAAGGAAATCCGCTCACATTCGGCGGCATCGGCATAGCCAGCTGGCGCCACGAGACCGAGCCGCACGCGGAGGCTAGGCCTCCGGCGCGGCCGTTTGTCGCGGCCGGCGGCTTCGAGGTGTTCATGGATGACGAGAGCCTGGCGCCGCCCGAGCCACGGCCGCGCGCCAAGGTGTTTCGGCCCGCTGCCGCGGCAGGTGCCCCCGGCCTGGTCAACGACGAAAATCGTCGCCCACCCGAGACCAAACTGCGTACCAAGGCGCTCAGTCAGGCGACGGTCGGCAATCTGCAGGCGTATGCCGATGACGAGCACTGTCCGCCTGAAACAAAAATGCGGGCCAAAACGTTCGGTCAGACGTGCGTCGGTGACCTTCAAGTGTACGCAGATGAAAACTGTCCACCCGAGTCCAGAACGCGGGCCAAGACGCTGGACCAGGCGTCTGCGGGCGGTTTTAAAGTCCACGTGGACGAGGAGAACGCTCCGCCGGCCGAGCGCAGACCGCGGCCGAAGACATACGGCGAGGCGGCCGCGGCCGGCCTCCGGGTGCGCGCCGACGAGACCCGGCAGCGTGGCAAGGCGCTGGCGCCCTCGGCCGAGGAGGCGCGGCCACCGCGCGCCCAGCAGCGCAAGCAGAAGCTGAAGCAGCGGCCGCTGCAGGAGCTGCAGAGCACCAAACGGGCGGCGCTGCAGCCGCTGCCGCTGGCTACGGCCGCCCGGCTTCCGGCCGCCTTTGACGTGCACGAGGATCCCTTGGAGCCGGCGGCGCTGCCGCAGTCGCAGCTGCTGCTGTGTCCGGCGGCGGCGGCTGACGCGCCGATGGCCTCGCCCGAATCGCTGCACTCGTCACTGGAGAGCATCGCCATCAGCCCGCACCGCGGTCGGCTGGACCGGCTGTTCTCGTACGAGGAGTACGCTGCCGATCTGTACCGGATCATGCGGCACGTAGAGGTGAGGCGCCCCCTCCCCCACCCCCGGTCCCACCGGCATCAGCATGGCGGCGCCGAAAAACTAGTGTCGCGCATTTTCCGCTAATGTAAGCTGGGCTTGTTTTCCGTTGGTTGCCACCATTGTGAACGTTGGTTTTTCTCAACATTGGTTGTTGTCATGACCACATTAGCAACATTATCTAGGCGGACGGTTGCTGTAGGGCCGATCGTCGGAATCCCTAACAGGGCGCCGCGTGCGCGGCCGGCAGCTGGATCACCGGCCCCGCGCCGACTTCATGGCGCGCCAGCCGGACATCAGCGTCGCCATGCGCTCCATCCTCGTCGACTGGCTGGTCGAGGTCAACGACGAGTACAAGCTGAACGCCGAGACGCTCCACCTGGCCGTCAACTACATTGACCGCTTCCTCAGCGTCATGACTGTTGTGCGAGCCAAGCTGCAGCTGGTTGGCACCACGGCCCTCTTCATCGCCTCGTGAGTTTGGCTATGCGCAGCCGCCCTACATTTGGCCGGCTGCCATCAGCGGAAACTGATTCGCACGCGCTCGGGAGCTGCGCAGCCTCTCGGTCATGTTCTCCGGCCGGGATACACTCGCGTTGTTTCACGCGTCGTCTTGTTACAGCGTATTCTCATGCTTGGGTCAGTGAGTCGTGACGTTTCGCGCCGTGCGGGCGTCTAGCCGGCATCCTGTTCTGACCCCCTGCGGCCGTGCCGCCGCGCGTGCACTGCAGAAAGTTCGAGGAGATCTATCCGCCGACGGTGAGCGAGTTCGTCTACATCACCGACGACACGTACACGGCCACGCAGCTGAAGCGCATGGAACACGTCATGCTGAAGATGCTCGCCTTCGACATGTCGGCGCCCACGTCCAACTGGTTCCTCAACTATTACATCGACAGCGGCGGCGCGGGGGAGGAGACAGTGAAGCACCTGGCTCAGGTGAGTGGCCGCCGGCTCTGCACTCGGCCGCAGACGCGCCCAGCTGCGCTGCTCTCTTCGGAATCTGGTCATGAAGTTCGGCCGCTGCTTCTCCCAGTAGGGCGCTCTGTGATGTGAATGTTGATGGATGCGGAGGGAGTGCCCCCTCCCCATGACCAGGTTTTTCAGAGCACGCGGAGAGAGAGAGAGGGGAGAGAAAGAGAGAGCGAGCGAGAGAGAGAGCGAAAGAGAGAGCGAGAGAGAGAGAGAGCGCGAAGAGATAGAGAGAGGGGAGAGAAAGAGAGAGCGAGCGAGAGAGAGAGCGAGACGAGAGAGAGAGCGAGACGAGAGAGAGAGAGAGCGAGACGAGAGAGAGAGGGAGAGAGCGACGAGAGAGAGGGAGAGAGCGACGAGAGAGAGGGAGAGAGCGACGAGAGAGAGGGAGAGAGCGACGAGAGAGAGAGAGAGCGACGAGAGAGAGAGAGAGAGAGAGAGAGAGAGAGAGAGAGAGAGAGAGAGAGAGAGAGCGACGAGAGAGAGAGAGAGAGAGAGAGCGACAAGAGAGAGAGAGAGAGAGAGAGAGAGAGAGAGAGAGAGAGAGAGAGAGAGAGAGAGAGAGAGAGAGAGAGAGAGAGAGAGAGAGAGAGAGGGAGAGAGAGAGCGACGAGAGAGAGAGAGAGCGACGAGAGAGAGAGAGCGACGAGAGAGAGAGAGAGAGAGAGAGAGAGAGAGAGAGAGAGAGAGAGAGAGAGAGAGAGAGAGAGAGAGAGAGAGAGAGAGAGAGAGAGAGAGCCGGAAGCGTGACGTACTGTATTCCATCTTCCGGGGCAAACTGAAAGAGGGCGCGGGGATCGCCCGACTCAATTCTTCCACGTGTGTCTAACGGTGTCTTGCCGCGCCCGGCCAGTTTCTGCTGGAGCTGACGCTGGTGCAGTACGAGCTGTGCAATAGGCACGTGAACTCGGTGCAGGCGGCGTCGGCGCTGTGCCTGGCGCGCCTCTCCACCGGCCATGAACCGTGGACGCCGCAGCTGGAGCGGGTCTCCGGGTAGGTCGGCCACGCTGGCCCTTCTAGTCACCCTATCCTGGTCCAGTCAGCTGGGGCCGGCATCATGAGCTCTTGTTCCAGTAGAATTCACCGTTTGGACGTTAAAATTCAAAGATAACATCAAATAGCTCATGACATTGCATGCACCTTGTAGGTGTCAATACACTGTGTATATTTTGTAGCCATCTTTGTAACTTTTGCTTTGTGATCCAGCCTTCTGCTTCTTTCAATATGTTCTGCTAAGTGTCTGTGTTCGGCCGGGGCCCAGATTGGTGTGACTGGCTGGTTTAGGCTCAGCCCGAGCTTGCCACAGAGCCGGCAGTGCTGGCCGCGTCAGTGAGGACGTCCCCGAGCTGAGCGCGCTCGGCTAGCCCTCACACCGCTGCGTGACGTCCGCGCTGACTCTCGACCGCGCGCGGTGGCCCACAGGCTGAACAGGGACCAGCTGCGGCCCTGCGTAGACCACATGCTCTCCGTGTACCAGACGGCGCGCGACCTGCCCCAGCAGGCCGTCGTCGATAAGTTCGCCAAGGACAAGTTTCTGGGCGTGTCGCAGCTGGAGCCGCCGACGGCCATCTCCTGGGCCTAGCGGTCGCCGGCGAGCGCGCGACGGCCGCCACCGCCTGCCCTGATCTCACGTCTCGTTCTGTCCGCACCGTCACGGCCGGCCGCCGCGGCCTGCGCTGGCCCGGCGCCCCCAGCCCACTCTGCCGACGGCCAACTTACTCCTCGAACCGATCCGCCCCGAGCGGCCAGCCCAGACTGGTCTGGTCTGAGCCGTCCTTCCGCCTGCCTGTTTTAGGTCTGTTTTACGCACGCTCAGACTGGAATCACCGCTGCCCGCGCAGCCCGTGTGATTCGCGTCCGCCTCTTTTCGAGTGTTTTGTCTGTCTGCATGTGCGCGCATGCCACGCCCACCCGCCCTGACCGTCTGCTCAGTCGGGCCGGGTTTTTAGCTGAGGCCTTTAGTGCCGAGAACACAGCGTCGGCGGCCGCGCGCGCCACGTCCAGCGCGACCGCGGAGCGCCGGCGTGGCGATGACGGCCGAGCCCGGCCGTCCGATGTTTAGCTAGTGTGACATGCCCGAAAGCGGAACTGGAGACACAAAGTGCAAATCGTATGTTGCTTGCGTTTAGCATGGCGTGGTTAGTCTGCTGTACATAATGGACGATATGCTAATACAAATGTACGGAGAACGATGATGTTTGCCGTCTCCTGGTGCGTCCGTTCGCCTACTCGTGCTCCGGTTTGTTTTGTAGCCTTCGTTAGATGAGGGACGTGTGGTGCAAAAGGGTGGCTGGCGCACCGGTTACGCGTACATCGAGCAGAATACACACCGAAGGCTTGTTTGATCTTATTTGTAAAACAAATGAGCTAAGGCCACGGTCTCAGCGGACTGCGATGCGCTATCGGCGAAGCCCGTGTTTGCATTAGGCCCTGTATGTTCCAACCCCCAGTCTTTCCGGGTCGCCCAGGACTCGAAGGTTATCACAATACACATCACGCACAAGACGGTCCCGTGGTGGTGGCATGAAGTAAGCCACGGCGGCCGCCGCCACGTGACGCCTGCGATCTAAACAACGGAGAACGGAGCCAGCAGTCTCGCGCTAGCAAAACACTGCGAGTCCGCCACTAACACCTCGATTATCATCTGGCAGGTTTGTGCTTGATTTCTGGTGCAGTGCAATTGCTTTCGACATAATTTGACTCGGCCTGATTCCTATCCTGACCTATTCATCGCAGCCTTGAGTCATCACTGGTCCTGAGTTAACAAGATTGGCCTAAATTCTGAGTACAAAATATTCCGCTGACAAGCAATTCGAGGCATCACATGTTCCATGGCCCTCGAACACGCCTTAATATACGTTTTCTTGCAACGACACAGCCATGCCTGACAATGCCCGTTTGTGTCAGATTTTAAAGAAATCTGGTTGCGCAAACGCCTTGTAACCCGGATCGACTCATCGGCGAGTTGTTTGACAGCTTCTGCCCCAGAAAATTACGCTTCCATCCGTGCGTCGCCGTAAGTCTAGTGCTAATCCCACCCATATGTTGGTTGGGGCATAACATTGGACGGGTTAAAATCCATCAGGCTCCCGCGTCTGACCCCAGCACTTCGAAATTCAGATTACTTTGCGCGGATTTTGTCGTTGAAGATGAAATAAAAGATTATATCGGATTCAGTATGAAACATCCATTTAGATAATATGGAATCATACAAAATATATATTGCTGTCATGATGATTAATTAAGAACGTTTTCTTCATGCCAGTTCGGTTGGACACATCCCATTTAATAGCAATGCGTAAATGTGCCTTGGTTTTAGATACGTCCTTGACAAACGTTGTTTACGTTTATGGACGGTCTGTCGGCGCGTGTGAGTGGTCAGGTGCTCAGCATTTGCATCGATCGTTGTGAACATATATCCCATTTTTGGTGCACATGCAACGGAAAACAATCTGAAAGCTTTGTTTGCTTTCTAAATGGTTCAAAGAATAGGAGGGGGTCGGGTGTTATGTTATATGGCGCATTTGTACCGTTGGGTATGGACAACCGGCGACAAAGGAAGCAGTGGTAGTGGCGTTGGGTATTTTTGGGAGAGGTGCTCACTGTTTTCTCAACAAAATATGATGTGAAGATTTATATTTTTCCAGTAACGTTAGTGCGCAGTCAAACTTTGAGCTCTTGCAGTGAGGTCTCAGGATATGCCAGGTTTAACCCAATGTTGATGTGTTGTCGGTTTTCTGCTAGTGTCAAGAAACAGATTGCAGTCAGGTGTGTGGTGATTGGGAATACCATTAGCAGTTCTCCCTGCTAGTTTTTAGGTGTTAAGAATAGTTTACTGTCCAAGGATCACTGGAATTATCCATATTCATGGAACACTTTTATTTCACACCTTATAAAACATGCTCTAAATGAACCAGAGAAGCATACTGCAATTACAACACAGTTAGGTCAAAGATGATTGGCCAGCTAAATGTTATATTGATAACCATGAAATGCTAAAGCATGGTATGACCTTAGCATTTGGTATGCTGTAAAACCACTCTTAACAACAATAATGAAAGGAGCCCAAGTCCTTAAAACACAGTAAGAAAATTGCAATTTTGGGAATCCTCTAAAAATATGCATAATATCTAGCACAGATTTGCTAATGCAGTTAGGTATGGAGCAGTCAAGTCCAACATATTGTTGATCCTGAAAGCTTTGTGTGCTTACTGTTTTTCATGCCTTGTAGTGCTGCTTTCTCATGGTTTTAGGTGTCCCTGCCCCAAGCATATGGCCAGGGTCACAGGTCATCATACCCTCAGCCATGACCATCAGTGAAACCTTGCAAGAGGACTTCAGGCAGATTGTTCTGACAAAATGCACCTCTGGGTGAGTATCTCATTTAAGGCTTTTGGCAATGCTTCTCATGTAGTGTTAAGTGCTATATCTAAAAGGCCAGGTAACATGAAGTGGTCAGCAGATGCACAAGCTAAGCAGATTTAAAGGTAGTATTAAAAAATTTAAGCTTGTTCCATGTGCATAGGGAAAAATAAAGTTTATAACCAAATGTGTTGTTCATATGTTTCAGAGAAAGTGCTGGAAGAAACCCTGGCAAAGACAAGGCAGAAGTGAGCATTTTGTTCCTCAGTCCCCACTAAGTTTCATTGTCTGCTAATGGATAACCCTTTTTAGTTCTTCATTACTTAAGTCTTGGCACCAGTTCTTAACAGCTTTAGAATACCTGCACTGCATGAAATGCATACAATTCATGTACTATTTCTATGTTTAGACAGTCTCTAGGAGAGCTTATGCAGTTGGGAAAATAGGGTCCCCAGCATGGGGCTTTCTAAGCTTTTTACTGGTGGTGGTCCTGTAGCTCAAATACTCAAGGGAATGAAAAGTAACACATAGGTTGGGTGAGTAGGTGGGACAGAACACTGTAAAATTAAGTGATGTATGCACATTTTTCATAAGTGACTACCTGTGCTAGATGGTGAAATTGCATGCTGTGTTTGCTGCCTTCAGGCATCTAGTGGTTGTCCTGCTGGTTTCATGTGCTGTCAATTGGTACACATCAGTGCATCCTCAGAAGGCAGGCCACATCAGTCAGCTATCCTTGCTGCTTTGTGGCTGCTGGAGCTGTCCATACAGTACAGCGGAGCTGTACATACAGCTCTGTCTCCATGTAGCTGTCTGTCTGATGGGCCACACCCTCACACTGGTCCCGCGGGCGCCAGTGGGCGGTGGACGCGCCGGTGCTGGCCGTGGCCGGCGGCGCCTCGTCGTTCGGCGCGTTCGCGGCCGTGCGCCAGCTGGTCATCGAGCTGCACCGGCGCCAGACGCTGCAAGCGCTGTGTAGCGCAGCGCCGGCCGTGTCACCGGGCGCCGCGCCACCCGACTCGCCCGCCGACTCGGAGCCGGCCGCGCCCGAGCTCCAGCCGCTGCCAAAGGTGAGCAGGCGCAGGCGGGCGGCGGCGGCGGCGGGCCACCCGGCCAGCTCCGGTACCGGCCAATCAGCACAGGCCATGCTGTTGTGTTCAGGGGAGCTGTGATTGTGGGAATGGTGACCACTCGTTGGTCCCATTAAAGGCCTCGTTGTGACTACCAAGTGGCTCAAGTTTTCCCAACTGTGTTGTGTTTGTCGGTTTTTTGGTGGTGTTCCGCCGTCGGCATGTGCTACCACGAGGCGCGGTCAGCGTGCAGCCGGTTTATCGTCGCGTGCTGTCGTCGCGCCAGTCGCCGCCCCGCCGGCGATTGCGTCGCGCCGCCGTTTGGCGCGCCCACCGTCCCGCCGGGACGCGTCTGCCGTCCGCCGGATCCGGCCGCCGGCCATCTGACCCGCGCCCGTCCCGTCCGCCAGATGGTCGGCATCGGGCTGAGCACAGTGTTCGAGCTAGTGCGCAGCAGCGCCGACTCGCACCCGGATATCTGCCTGCGCGCCCTGCACGCTCTGCTCGGCATCCTGGAGGGCCAACAGCCAGAGGCGCTGCGGCTGGAGGAGCCGCAGCTCATGGGTGCGTGCCGGTGCCGCCGCCAGAGCGGACCGGCATACAGACCGAATGGATCAAGCAACAGGGCCTGCTATGTCTGCCTGCCCCTGGTCGGAGATGCAGTTTTGCTGTGAAACCTGTTTCGCCCGAGCTTCAAGTCGCACGAAGCCACGACACTGTGGTTTCGTGTGACTTCGACTCGAACCATCACGGCACATTTGTTACTCACCTCTGATCGACACAGGTTCTCCCATGCCTCGTGTGACTTGACTGCGGGTGCTCTGGTCGCCTGAAGTCATTTTTCCTTGGCGAGCCCGGAAAAGATGCTGGCAGTGCGGTGGCTATGCCAGTCAGTTAATCGCCTCTGAGCGTTATTGTCTGTATGAATTCGTTTATGGATGTATATATATATATATATATATATATATATATATATATATATATATATATGCAGCTGGCCCCCCTTTGTGGCCAATGGAGAACGTGACGCCATATGCAGAAACAGAGCCTTGATGTGCAAGTGTAGCGTACTGTCAACGACAAGTGTGGTGTATTGTCGAGAAGGACAAGTGTGGTGTATTGCCAATTTCCGGAGTTGAGCGATGACACTGTCTGGTGACTGGCCTCGAGCAGTGCCGGCCGATGAGGCCCCGCGCCCTGCGCTGAGTGTCACCAGACCGTCATCTGCCGGTGTGGTGACTGGTCTCGAGCAGTGCCGGCCCGTGAGGCCCCGCGCCCTGCTCGGAGCGTCACCAGACCGTCGTCCGCCGGTGTGGTGACTGGTCTCGAGCAGTGCCGGCTCGTGAGGCCGCGCGCCCTGCTCGGAGCGTCACCAGACCGTCATCTGCCGGTGTTGGGCGCCAGTCGAGTGTCCGGCGCGACAAACTGACCGGTGCATGTGGCGTGCCCCGGGCAGACGAGCTGTACGAGTGTCTGCAAGCACTCAGCTGCCGGCGCCACCAGCTGCAGCTGTCGGCTGCGGCATGCAGCTGCCTGCTGAGCCTGGTGGTGGCCCGCGGCGAGACGAGCGCCATCCTGAGGGCGGTCACCGCCGTGCTCACCAGCCAGACGCACGCCCGCAGCGTGCAGGTGGGGCGGACAGTGGCGCCGGCTGGGCCGGGCCGGGCCGGCCGCCGGGCCGGCCGCCGGGTGCCCCGGCCGCGTTAGGGAACTCCCATGCAGTACGGATGGGAGAAAGAATGGCAAGAAAAAGGAAGGGATAGAAGGCTGCCAATAACTTTTAACGCCATGGCATGTAATTGCATCGTCGTCGTTATTTGTTATATATCCAGGCGTTAGAAAACGTGGAATTTTTGTAGGGAGTACGTATTCCATCCAGCAAACTTGTATGATCACGGTAAAACGTGTCCTGCAATTTGTTGGTCCTGAGGCTATCGTTGCCATTTTGTGTGCCTGCACACATTACCTGTTGCCTCTCTGCTTAAGAAGGCTGCGGCACCATGTTCATATGACATTCCAAATGCTGGAAGGTTTGCTCGATGATATTTGATTATTTTTAGTGGCACACGTTTTCCACTCATTTTCTCAAATGCCCACAAAAGTGTCGTGATCGCCGTTATGCCCGCACTGCTTCGGGGAGGATGCGATCGACTTGCCAAGCAAACCAGGCAAGATCGACAAACCAAGCGAAGCTTGCGGCGCAGGAGTCGAAGTCGTTAACACTGCACTGGCACCAGAGCCTGTCTACATGCTGTGCTCGACGGCCGACGAGCCTTGCCTCTGTCCGCTGGCAGTCTTCGTCGGCCCTTCCGTGGCCGGCCGTGATTCGTATGTCATTGAATGACAACGCCGTCCCCTGGCACGCTTCGCGAGCCGTGTGGGGTTTTATTAGCTGTACATATCGGAATGTCGATTATTAATCGCGACCATACAGCCGGTCACATTTACAACACTCAGACAACTACACGATAAATGCATAACTTGATGGTGTGGTAAAATTATACAATGTACACACGTGCACGCACACGCACACACACACGCACACACGCATACGCTCACGCTCACGCACACGCACACGCACACGCACACGCACACGCACACACGCGCACACACACACACACACACACACACTATATATATATATATATATATATATATATATATATATATAACGGCTGTGCCTGACTGACGACCGTGCCTGAGTGACGGCTGTGCCTGACTGACGACCGTGCCTGACTGACGGCCGTCCGGCCTGTGCGCCAGCTGCCGGCGATCCTGTGCGCGCTGCAGCGCTCCGTGCTGGCCGTGCTGCTGGGCAGCGTGCACCGGCCGCACTGGCTGACGCACGGCGTGCCACGTGCCGCCGGCGCCGCCCACACCACCCTCCGACTGCCAGAGTACACGCCGCCGCCGGGTGAGTGGCACGCAGCGTCGGCCCGCGTCTGCCGGCCCAGCTGGCGTCAGCGCCTGGTAAACAGGGGGATGCTGCCTGCATTGTCATGGGATTGTGTCCGACTGCGCTCGTCGGCGTGTGCAGGGCCCTATGGTGGGGCTTGCCTTGCCCGACTGCGCTTTCTGGCACCGCGGCTGCTTGTTAAGTGCCGTCTGAGGTCGCGGGAGGGATGGGGATCTGGGGATGACTGGACGCGGCCGGTCAGCGGCAGCGGGCGTCTGTGCTGCCCCGCTCGCTGCCCCGCCCGTCGCGTCAGCCCGAGCCTGTGCGTCAGACGGCTCCGGCGGCGGCGGCGACGTCAGTCTGGCCAGCGACGGCCCGCGCCTCTACCTGCGCTGTCCGGCCGGCCTCTACAGCGTCGGCTCCGGCTACGGCGGCACCACGCGCGGCCATGTTTACGCCCGCTCGCCGGACGTCACTCGCGGCCAGCTGGTCAGCGTCCAGGTGGGTGCCGCGCCCTCGCGCTCACCCGGTGGCACTGACAGTGGCGTGCCGACCACATCCGGCCCTCTTATCCTCTATCTCGCTTCCTCCTGTATCTTCGCGACACCCCGCTTGTTCGGGGCGAGCTGCATGCGTCAGCCATGAGTGGGCCGAGAGCGCCGCGGGAAGGGGGACCCCGACCAGGTACCCAGCACGCACGCGCGGGTTAAAGCCCGGCGGGTGGCCCACCAGACGCATGCGCGTGGTCGCAGCCTGGCTCGCCGTTCTCGCTGTGCTCCGCCGTAGCGGCGGCACGAACTTGGCTGTGGCCGCTGACTGTGCCGGATGTCGCCGCCAGCGGGGCCTGTACCTGCTGGACGGGGACGGGCTGACCCGGCTGGACCCGGTGGACCTGCGGCGGCGCGAGCAGGTGACGCTGCCAGCCACCGAGCCGGGCTCACGCTGGTTCTCGGACGGCGCCTCGCTCTGCTCCATAGCGCCGCACAAGGACGTGAGTCCGTCTTCCGCGGCGGCCCCATGCACGCCGGTCTCCCCGCTCCGTATCACCACCCGAGAACGTCGGCTGCCTTCCGTTTGGTGCATTAGTTAAGGCTCATTCAACTGTGAGGTGTTTATGAAAAGAGTGCGGAGTTTTGGAGAGCGGTGTGCGCGTGTATGTGTGTGTACGTGTGTGTTTGTCGTAACACAGCTACTCGGCGGCCAGGACACGTTTATCGTGCACAGCTACCATGTGACAGCGACGTCTGTGGCGCAGAAGAGCAGTCATACCCTGCAATTGGTGCGCAAACGACTGCAGGTAACTATCTCGCTCCTTCCCCTGTCTTCGGTTCCTCCCCTGTCCGAGCCCTGCTGGCGGCCGGGGTCGGTACCTGTCTGGGTCTGGATCGGTGCTTCTCACGCTCTCTCCCCTGTCCGAGCCCCGCTGGCGGGCTGGGATCGGTACCTGTCTCGTCCTGGATCGGTGCCTGTCTCGCTCCCTCCCCTGTGCGAGCCCCGCTGGCGGGCTGGGGTCGGTACTTGTCTGGGCCTGGATCGGTGCCTGTCTCGCTCCCTCCCCTGTGCGAGCCCCGCTGGCGGGCTGGGATCGGTACCTGTCTCGTCCTGGATCGGTGCCTGTCTCGCTCCCTCCCCTGTGCGAGCCCCGCTGGCGGGCTGGGGTCGGTACCTGTCTCGTCCTGGATCGGTGCCTGTCTCGCTCCCTCCCCTGTGCGAGCCCCGCTGGCGGGCTGGGGTCGGTACCTGTCTCGTCCTGGATCGGTGCCTGTCTCGCTCCCTCCCCTGTGCGAGCCCCGCTGGCGGGCTGGGATCGGTACCTGTCTCGTCCTGGATCGGTGCCTGTCTCGCTCCCTCCCCTGTGCGAGCCCCGCTGGCGGGCTGGGATCGGTACCTGTCTCGTCCTGGATCGGTGCTGCCTGTCTCGCTCCCTCCCCTGTGCGAGCCCCGCTGGCGGGCTGGGGTCGGTACCTGTCTCGTCCTGGATCGGTGCCTGTCTCGCTCCCTCCCCTGTGCGAGCCCCGCTGGCGGGCTGGGATCGGTACCTGTCTCGTCCTGGATTGGTAGCTGTCTCGCTCCCTCCCCTGTCCGAGCCCCGCTGATGGGCTGGGGTCGGTACCTGTCCCGGCCTGGATTGGTAGCTGTCTCGCTCCCTCCCCTGTCCGAGCCCCGCTGGCGGCCGGGGTCGGGCCGCTGCTGGGTACTGAACGTGCCAGTAGTGCGAGTCTCAAGAATGGTTGTAATGCATCACTTGTCAGCGCCTGTGACACACACACTTGTCAGCGGCTCAGCCAGCTGGGATCGGGCCTACTAGCCAGTGAACATGTGGGCCCAATTGATCCCCGCCAGCCAGTCTGTGCCCAGTCCAGTGATGTGATCTCCGGCGATGTCAGCGCCGCCAGATATCAGTCATGACGTGCTCGGTGCCATGTGATGTAGTGTTGGCTCCGATCGGTACTGGACGGCTCATTGGGCGCGCCGGCTAAAAGGCAGCTGGTCAAGACATGCAGGAAATGGTGAATACTGCTACCACCACAGATTTTCTCACAGCTAAGGTGTAACGAGTACTTAGTTTAAAGGATCGCTTTCACTTCTACCTGCGTTATTCTACCGCTTCGCATGCACCCAGACCAGTTTTATGAAGGACTGTATACAAAGCGCGATGGTCACTGAATCTTGACGTGACCTAGCACAGGTGGGTGTAACAGAGGCCGCAGCGGGCCTGCGTGGGTCGTGGGCCGGCCGGCCGGCCGTGCGCGCTGTGTCTGACTGGTGGGTGACGGCCGTGGTGCGCGCGCGCGCTCCGCCAGGTATGCGGCGTGTCGACGGTGTCGCGAGACCCGTCCGAGACGTACGACCTCGACTCGGGCTGGGAGGACGAGCTGGCCTCGGTGGCCGCCGGCCGCGACTTCGTGCTGCTCCGCACCGGCCAGGGCAAGGTGGGTTGTGCGCGCCGGCCGACGGCAGCGCAGCGTCAACGCGCCGGCGACCCGCCGCACAGCGCCAGCACGGCTTGGCGGCCTATCGCGCGGCAGTCCGTCGTGCCGATGATTGCGTGCCTGTGGAACCACAGTCCCCATTCACGGCGGGGTGGAATCTGTTTCGTCAAGCAGGTGCACATTCTTAAAGAAAACGGTGTTTACAACTTATATAATGTGCATAGGTTGGAAGTTAAACGCGATATGCAAATATGGAGTTTTCGTTTTTTTCGTGGCTGGCCGAATGCCATTACCACCGTGGTGCACAAAGGTGCCGGTGTGTGTCATGGATTACATTGTGTTCGTTTGGCCGTAACGTGGCGCGGGTACACTTGTGTGTTTGAATGGCGTAGTAGGAATAATTTCACTGTTGCACAAAGTGATATATTGTAACGGGGTACAAAGTCAGCCCAGACAGGTGTAGGGTAGCTGTTAGCAAGCGTCGTCTGCCGGGCGGCCGTTGTACCGTGCCGCTGCTGTCAGGTGCTGTACTCTGGGAAGGCGTCGAGCCTGGGCCTAAAGCACGCGGCGGCCGGCGGGGGCGGCGGCGCCGAGCGCTGGCTCGAGCTGCCCATCCTGCGCTCGCCCACCATCGCCCAAGTCAGCATGGGTCACGAGGGCCAGCACGCCGTGCTGGTCGGCGAGGACGGCGCCGCCTACTTCACCGGCACACCGCGGCGTGGCGAGGACGGCGACGTCGGTGGGTGCTGGGATGGAACGCGGGGTGCTGAGGACGGGGCCGTAAGAGCAGTGCTGCCATATTCGACGACTAGAGGTATCAATATTCGTCTCGCTATTATCCCCGGATTCGCGGTTCACTGACCGTTTTTCTTACCCTTGATCACGTTAGGCAAACCAGCGTCGGGCCGGTGGTAACCAAATCAGCATCGAGGCGCCTCGGGTTTGGCAAAGCGACCGGGCAGGCCAGATGTCCGATTCTGGATCAGAGGGCAACGGATTAACTGGCTGTGGATTGTACCTGCGGGAGCCGCCGGAGAGGAATAATTGTTAGTTACATGTGCATCCTGCACACCCAACTGGATCCGTTTTGGGATGCTGCTCGGGGGTGCGGGGTACGAGGACGTGGGGTTACTGCATGAGATGGGAGAGGGGGTAGGGGGATTGAGGATGGGACGTAGGAAGGTATGAGTAGCTGCTAGTTCAAGGCTACATTTCAAGGTCCTACCATGGTGCTGATGTGTGCCCGTGCGTGCATATGCGTGTGGCCACGCAGTCCGTTCACAGCTGGTGGTGACGCTGGACTGGGCGGCAGCGCAGACCGCCGACAGTCACACTCCGGCCTCTGATGTCCCGCTGACCCCCCTCCCCCTCCCTCCCCGCGTGCAGCCAAGGCGCGCCGCCAGCCCAAGCCGCAGCGACCCAAACGCATGGTCAAGATGGAGGGCAAGGTGGTGGTGGAGGCGGCCTGCAACAACGGCTCATCGGCGCTCGTTACCGCCTCCGGCCACCTTTACATCTTTGGAAAGGACAGCATCCACAGCGAGGGTACCTCAGGTGAGGTGACGGCCGGTCACCGCCGCCACCAGCTGGCCGGCTGGTGGCCCGCCGCACAAGGCCGCGCCTCCCTCAGAGGTGTGTGAAGACTGGAGCTGTGCTGCCCGAGACAGCAGCTGTGGGCCGTGACGGTGCTGTCCGAGACAGCAGCTGTGGGCCGTGACGGTGCTGTCTGAGACAGCAGCTGTGGGCTGCGACGGTGCTGTCCGAGACAGCAGCTGTGGACCGTGACGGTGCTGTCCGAGACAGCAGCTGTGGACCGTGACGGTGCTGTCCGAGACAGCAGCTGTGGACCGTGACGGTGCTGTCCGAGACAGCAGCTGTGGACCGTGACGGTGCTGTCCGAGACAGCAGCTGTGGACCGTGACGGTGCTGTCCGAGACAGCAGCTGTGGGCCGTGACGGTGCTGTCTGAGACAGCAGCTGTGGACCGTGACGGTGCTGTCCGAAACAGCAGCTGTGGGCCGTGACGGTACTGTCTGAGACAGCAGCTGTGGACCGTGACGGTGCTGTCCGAGACAGCAGCTGTGGACCGTGACGGTGCTGTCCGAGACAGCAGCTGTGGGCCGTGACGGTACTGTCTGAGACAGCAGCTGTGGGCCGTGACGGTGCTGTCTGAGACAGCAGCTGTGGGCTGTGACGGTGCTGTCTGAGACAGCCGCTGTGGGCTGTGACGGTGCTGTCCGAGATAGCAGCTGTGGGCCGTGACGGTGCTGTCTGAGACAGCAGCTGTGGGCCGTGACGGTGCTGTCCGAAACAGCAGCTGTGGGCCGTGACGGTACTGTCCGAGACAGCAGCTGTGGGCTGCGACGGTGCTGTCCGAAACAGCAGCTGTGGGCTGTGACGGTGCTGTCCGAAACAGCAGCTGTGGGCTGTGACGGTGCTGTCCGAGATAGCAGCTGTGGGCCGTGACGGTACTGTCTGAGACAGCAGCTGTGGGCCGTGACGGTGCTGTCCGAGATAGCAGCTGTGGGCCGTGGCGGTGCTGTCTGAGACAGCAGCTGTGGGCCGTGACGGTGCTGTCTGAGACAGCAGCTGTGGGCTGCGACGGTGCTGTCCGAGATAGCAGCTGTGGGCCGTGACGGTGCTGTCCGAGACAGCAGCTGTGGGCCGTGACGGTGCTGTCTGAGACAGCAGCTGTGGGCTGTGACGGTGCTGTCCGAAACAGCAGCTGTGGGCCGTGACGGTGCTGTCTGAGACAGCAGCTGTGGGCTGTGACGGTGCTGTCCGAGACAGCAGTTCAGGCTACCTGCATGCATCGACGGCCTCCCTCGGCCAAATTTTTTTTCGCCGGCATCGCTGGCTTTTTACGAACCAAATGGCTGCTCAGCTGTGGGCGACGATGGCTAGCAGTGAGCTCAGACCGGTTCAGCCACAGCTAGCGGTGCGGCATTCGAGCTAGCGGTGCGGCAGTCGTGCTCGCGGAGGGCGGGGCGACAGCAAGTGACCCTGTGCGGATGGCGTATTGGGCACACATATGTGGCACAGGAGCTCCTGCTTTGCCGGGACGACCGACCCATGTGAACACGCCGTAACTCGCCACTTACTATGCGCCGCTCTGTACTTTTGCGTCCCACTTTGCCGAAGAGTGCATACGCCATTTGGGACGACCTGCGGGAGCCCTTAACTTGGGCAAAAGCGTGGGCAACGACTCGAATGTCATTAACACGAGCCAGCTTTTATCTTGCCTATGGGCGGTATGATTTTCCGCTGTATACACGCCCCGATGCAAAGTTGGACTCATCATGAGCGCAAAATGACCTCCGTTGTTGGCGTACCCGTAAGTCCCGGTCATCACCATGAGTGCATTTTTCGGCGGCAGACAGTGGCGCCGGACCGGACGCCCGGCCCCGACGTGCCACGGACGGGTTCTGCCAGCTGACCGTCACCCGTCACGAGCCGTCACGAGCCGTCACATCACCCGTCACGTGCCATAGGTCTGATCGGCGAGCTGCGGGACGTGCGCGTCACGCACGTGGCACTGGGCAAGGCGCATGTGGTGGTGCTGTCCAGCCGCGGCCACGTCTACACGTTCGGCATGAACAACAAAGGCCAGTGCGGCCGCGACGTGGTCACCGGCCGCGAGAGTGAGTGACGGCCTCACTGCGGGGCGCCACGGGTGTGCGGCTGGGGGCGACGGGCCGCGAGAGTGAGTGACAGCCTCACCGGGGGGGGGGGGGGGGGCCACGGGTGTGCGGCTGGGGGCGACGGGCCGCGAGAGTGAGTGACGGCCTCACTGCGGGGCGCCACGGGTGTGCGGCTGGGGACGACGGGCCGCGAGAGTGAGTGACAGCCTCACCGGGGGCGCCACGGGTGTGCGGCTGGGGGCGACGGGCCGCGAGAGTGAGTGACAGCCTCACTGCGGGGCGCCACGGGTGTGCGGCTGGGGGCGACGGGCCGCGAGAGTGAGTGACAGCCTCACTGCGGGGCGCCACGGGTGTGCGGCTGGAGACGACGGGTGTGCTGTAGGAGTAATGACTGGTGTATGTTTTTGGATTAAAGGTTTGTCGTGTAGCACTCACTTCATGTATAAGTTTTGCAGTATAAGCAATGTCGCGTATAACTGATGACGTAGCATTCCCGTCGATAGGAGTTTTTGCTGCAAGAGTAGGCAGCGGTCTCTGCCGTTACACTGATGTCGTGACACAGGGTGAGAGTGTACTGCCTGGGGCGCGCCACGTGTGTGCAGTGTGTGTCAGCGGACTGCTGAGTGGCGCGGGGTCATGTGATTGTCACCCCCGTGGCGGGCGGGGGCGGTCACCGCTCCGGCTGACCTGTCCCGGCCGTCTGGGCAGCGGCCATGCAGACGTCGGCGGCGGGCGGCGCGGTGCCGGCGCCGGCCGAGGAGGAGGCAACGGCCGGGCCCCCGCTGCTCTGCCCGGCCGGCCGCCACCTATTCGTCAAGGAGAGCTGCATGGTGTGCACTGTCTGTCAGCAGTGCACAGAGTTCGGCGCCCAGTGCGTCACGGCCGACAAGGCGGAGCGCGCGCCTGGCATGTGAGTACCGCTGGCGGGGTCGGGCTCTCCGGCCCGTCGTCACCGCCGTTAGTATCGCCGGCCGGGCCGGGGTCTGCGGCCCGTCGTCACCACCGTTAGTATCGCCGGCCGGGCCGGGATCGGCCGCCCGTCGTCACCGCTGTTAGTAGCGCGGGCCGGGGTCGGCCGCCCGTCGTCACCGCCGTTGGTAGCGCGGACCGGGCCGGGGTCGGCCGCCTCGTGAGTAGCGCGGCACCGCTCTGTCCTGCCGTGTTGTGCAGCGGTGCGGCCGGTGCCGGTGGGAATACTCCACCTTGCCGGTATGATCTGGTAGATTGCAGCATGTGGTTTGTAGGCGATCCTGCCGTTGTCGAGCTCTGTGCCTGCTACCGGTCCTGTGGTGGACTCGCACCAACGTGTTTCGTGTCCAGACCGCCGTGCTCTATCTCTAAGTAAACGCCGTGATTCGACCCGTGTGCTGGTGGCCTGACCCGGTGTGTGTCTGTGTCCCGTTGGCCGGTGAAGACGGTGAGCTGACGGTGGGCGCGGCCTTGCGGTCAGGGTGTGTGCCTGTGTCCCGTTGGCCGGTGATGACGGTGGGCTGACGGTGGGCGCGGCCGTGCGGTCAGGGTGTGTGCCTGTGTTCCGTTGGCCGGTGATGACGGTGAGCTGACGGTGGGCGCGGCCTTGCGGTCAGGGTGTGTGTCTGCGTCCCGTTGGTCGGTGATGACGGTGGGCTGACGGTGGGCGCGGCCGTGCGGTCAGGGTGTGTGCCTGTGTCCCATTGGCCGGTGATGACGGTGGGCTGACGGTGGGCGCGGCCGTGCGGTCAGGGTGTGTGCCTGTGTCCCGTTGGTCGGTGATGACGGTGAGCTGACGGTGGGCGCGGCCGTGCGGTCAGGGTGTGCGGCTGCGGGCCGGGTCAGGCCGGCTGCGCCAAGTGCGGCGTGTGCCGGCGCTGCGCTGAGCCGGGCCGCCGCAGCGTCGAGCCTCCCGCCGCCATCGACGCCGGCACGCTCATCGACATCGGCCTCGGTGACATGGTCAGCGCGCTCCGACAGAACCAGGGTCAGTGGCGGCGCCGATCGACGAGAACGTACCATTGCTGGCTGCCGGACATTATTCGGGCTGAAATCTTAAGTGCAGCACGTGTGCGTGCGTTTCGAATTGCTTCGTGCCAGACGGCGGATGTGTGTCTGGATAATGGCCGATATCGCCATATTTGATTGTAGTGCTGACAGTAAATAAATTTGGTTTATCTAAGTGTTGAGTTATGAAGTGTCCATCCTGAACGTTCCGTGTATTCATATTTCGTCACTGTTGTGTTCGTGGTAGCGGTGCCGGTTTTGCTCGTGGTAGCATATATGGTAGCCATGTTCTTACAATGCTGCTCATCGAGCAGTGGGCTTTTTCCGTCATCGACCTGGCATGCTGGTCCGCAATCGTGCTGACTCCGCCACGCTATCCTCCAGCTCGAGCGCTGTCGCCTGTGAAGGAGGACAACGTGCGAAAGCGCCGGGACCAGTCGCGGGTGAAGTTCGCCAATGGTAAGCGCGCTCGGCTGCCGTCCCGGTGCTCCGGTGGTGCAGTGAGCCCATCCTCGACATTGCCTGACACCATCGCTCGCCTCTTGCCGGGCCCGTCGGCGGCGCGTGTAGTCCTCGTGACCCGCGGCCCGGCGGCCGGCTCGCCCCCTGACCCCGCCCACCTCGTGCCGCAGCTGCTCCGACCGGCGGCGGCGGCGGCGGTGGTGGTGGTGGTGGTGACGAGGTGATGAGCAGCGACCACGAGCGTGAGGCGGCCAAGATGACGCTGTTGCCGCCGGCGCGGCTTCAGCTGCCCACCGATAGCCCGGCCGTGCAGGTGGCCTGCGGCCTGCACCACACAGGTGCGCTCGGCCAGCCAGGGACGGCAGCCGGCGGCGCCCGGCCCGCCGGTCCGCTCGCCCGCCCGCCGGTGCAGCGCACGGTGTCGAAGCGTGCCACTGTAAGGGCTTCACTCTGCTGCCTTGCTCCGTTGGCGTCGGGACTTTGCGCCTTTGAACCGCTGCGGAGAAATATAGAAATATCAGCTCAGCTGCCTGATCTACTGGTTTCGCCGAGTCCCAAAACCAATGGGAAATGCTTTCATGAGTGTGGCCTACCTCTGACGTCACCCAATTGTCGTTTTGTCCGTGCGGCACAAACATGTTCTGACTGAGAGCCTGACCTGAGAGTGATCGCTACACGCACACACACCCACACGCCCTTACCCCACTGCGATGTCTGCTCCCCTCACCAGGGGTCGTCGCACAGCCTTTACAGGGGGGGGGGGGGGGGGGGGGGGGATATGGCGCAAGGAAGATCCTTCATCACGTTTTGGCGCAGGACTGGGTCAGAATCGTCGCTCAGTTCCCACCAGGAGGGAGCGGTCCGGATGGTAATCGGCAGGCGCGGCTGTGCGAGCCAAGCCCTCTGGTCCCAACGTCACGGAAGGAAGCACCTATACTCTTGAAGGCTTCGACCCGCTCGGCCCGCCCTCGTACAGTCTTGCACACGAGCTAACCGTGCCCAGACCGACGCCGTCTGTGGCGTCGCCATCACGCCACCGTACGGGGCCGCCGTCACCAAGCGCACCTGGGTGCACGCCGCGTGGCCGGGCCACGGCCGCCTCCCCAGTGATCGTGCGCACGCCGCGTGACCGGGCCGCGGCCGCCTCCCCCACTGATCGTGCGCGAGCCGTGTGACGGGGCCACGGCCGCCTCCCCAGTGATCGTGCGCACGCCGTGTGACCGGGCCACGGCCGCCTCCCCCACTGATCGTGCGCACGCCGCGTGACCGGGCCACGGCTGCCTCCCCAGTGATCTTGCACACCGACGGCACGGCGCACCTGTTCGGCAACAACGCCTGGGGCCAGCTGGGCGCGCCGCCGCTGGCGCCGCGCGCGGCACCTCTCCGGCTGCGCTGCCGACACGGCGGCCGGTTCGTGCAGGCCGCCGCCGGCAGCCACCACACCGTGCTGCTGACCGATGACGGCCAGGTGGTGACGTTCGGCGCGTACCAGGTGCGTAGTGTACCGCCCACCCGCCCGGCCGCCGCCGTTGTTCAGCTGGCCGGCGACCGCGGCGCGTTGTAGGGCGTGATCACGTAGGCTGTTCCGCCTGAGAGCTTCAAGCTTGTTTATTCATTTTCATGTTTCACGGAGCTATTTGCCTTCATAGGAATGCTATTCATCAACCTCAGCATATCGTACAATCGTCATAGCCTCTGTTACAACAATGCATTCGAAGCTTTGGCTTCGCCCGGAAGAACACCAGTTTCTCGTCTGGCAAGAGGACCCGTATATGAGTGGCATAGCTCGGTTCGGCCCCGTGACCAGCCGTGCTGCGGCTGTTACAGCGTGGCCAGCTGGGCCGGTCGCCGCCCGGCGCTGGCCCGTCCGCCGCCGCCAACAACCTGTGGTTCGCCTCGCCCGAGCCGGTGCCCGGCATCGGGGCCCAGCACGGTACGGAGGGGCGCCACCGCAGCCACCGGCGCTGGAGGCGGTGCCTGGCGCTGTTGTGTGCGTCACGGGCAGGCTTGGAGCAGTGACGACGAGCTGTTGTGACCGCAGTGCGACCAAGGCGCATTACATTGCTGTGTTTTCGCCGCAGACCTGTCTGGCTTACGAATGTCGTCCATGCGATTTTGTTAATTGTTAAAGCGTTCTGTTTGCGGTGTCGTATGAAGCCTTGTGCTTGTGTTGAACATAGTCTCGTAGATACTCATTGTTGGTTGTATATGGCGTAATGTCGCGTGAGGCTGCGTGTTTGGCAGGCCGGAAGGCGACCTGGGTCGGCGCCTCAGGCGACCAGACCTTCATCCGCATTAACGAGAACCTGGTGAACGCCGAGACTCTGGGCGTGTCCACCATCATCGCGGGACAGAACTTCCTGGGTCAGTAGGGGGGGGGGGGGGGGGGGCGCGACCCGTCTGGGACAGATCGAGCCGTGCTCGCTCCCGGCTGACTGTGTGGGGGGGGGGGGGGGCATGTCGGCGCGGGGCGCGGTCCGCGACCTGTCTAGGGGAGATCGAGCCGTGCTCGCTCCCAGCTGACTGTGCACCATCCACGGAATGTCCCTAGCGTAAAGTTGTCTGTGCGTTAGGCTCTCCTGTGGCTGAGTTATGCTGATCGGACACTTCGGACACCTAGTGATCGCCAACAGCCAGCTGTGGTGCCCACCGTTCGTTGGGTAGGTTTCTCGCCGCCGGCGGCGGCCGGTCGGTGGTTGGGTATCAGTAGGTTGCGCCGTCGGGGCAGCCTCAGCCTGCACCTGTACGGCGCGCGTCGGTGCCGCAGGCGTGCTGCCCACCTCTCCGCGCCCGGCTGCCGTCCAGGACGCCCGCTACGAGTTCGGCTCGCTGATGATCGGCCGCTCGGAATGGTTCTGCCGCGGCTACGGTGGCGAGGACCAGGCCGACCTGGCCACCGGGCTGGCCGTCACACTCGACCACGCTTACGACAGCCTCTGGACGTGAGTGACAGCCGGCCGGCCCGTGCTCGGCGCCGGGCGGGCGTGCCACGGAGCGGCGTCGCGCCCGGCTGCTGCGCCGCTCCCGTCCTGTGGCGACGCCGGGCTGGTGCAGCGCTGGCCGTAGACACGTCGCCGAGCCGCTGCTCCCGGCTCGGGTGGTGCGGGCGCCTGTGAGGGCGCTACACTCCCCCGGAAAATCCGGCGGCGCTGGCAGATGCTGTTCGAATGTTCCCTTGCGAAACGCCGCGGGAGCGTAATCTGACCGCGGACTTGGGCGGCGAGTGGGCGCCATCAGCTAACATGACCTGACCGTCACCCGGCCAGGTTTGATCCGGTCTCGCTGCGGCTGACCTGCCACAACATCCTGCTGGCGGCGCTGCCGGACCGGCCGCTGGACGGGCTGGACCTGGTGTCGCCAGAGCTGGCGCTGCCCGTCACCGCCGCCGCTCAGGTGCCGGAGACGCAGGTGAGGGTCGGGCTGGGCCTCGAGACTGCGGCCGGCCGGCACGGCCCGCCTCCGACGCTGCTCAGGTGCCGGAGACGCAGGTGAGGGTCGGGCTGGGCCTCGAGACTGCGGCCAGCCGGCACGGCCCGCCTCTGACGCTGGTCAGGTGCCGGAGACGCAGGTGAGGGTCGGGCTGGGCCTCGAGACTGCGGCCAGCCGGCACGGCCCGCCTCTGACGCTGGTCAGGTGCCGGAGACGCAGGGGAGGGTCGGGCTGGGCCTCGAGACTGCGGCCAGCCGGCAGGGCCCGCCTCTGACGCTGCTCAGGTGCCGGAGACGCAGGGGAGGGTCGGGCTGGGCCTCGAGACTGCGGCCGGCCGGCACGGCGCGCCTCCGACGCTGGTCAGGTGCCGGAGACGCAGGGGAGGGTCGGGCTGGGCCTCGAGACTGCGGCCGGCCGGTACGGCCCGCCTCTGACGCTGGTCAGGTGCCGGAGACGCAGGGGAGGGTCGGGCTGGGCCTCGAGACTGCGGCCGGCCGGCACGGCCCGCCTCTGACGCTGCTCAGGTGCCGGAGACGCAGGGGAGGGTCGGGCTGGGCCTCGAGACTGCGGCCAGCCGGCACGGCCCGCCTCCGACGCTGGTCAGGACCGGTGAGGCTCTGGTTGGCGTATTTCTGGGGCGTGGTTGTGTCTGAGGCTGGCCCGGTCGCCAGGTGGCGCTGAACCTGCTCAGCTGCCTGGAGGTGCTGACCGAGCACCGGACGTTCGTGTTCGACTTCAGTGAGCCGCAACAGACTGAACACCAGGTGGTGCGCTCGCTGTCGCGGGACGACGCCCAGATGGTGCACCGGTTCGAGAGTGAGTGCCCGGCGCGGCGGGCGGCGATTGGCGGCTGGTCGGCTGCGGAGAAAGGCGTGCTCTGTGAGGAAGCGCCATCATTGTGCTCATACAGTCCTGCGTTACCACTGTACTAATATACCTGAGTTACTTCCATGTTGCTACACCTGAGTTACTTCTGTATTGCTATACCTGAATTACTATTGCACGTGAAGTAGTGCTGTGATAGTGAGGTTGAGGTATTGTCAGCCATTGTTAGCCTGTTGATCGCGGTCGGGTGATGCGAGTCCAGATTCAGATGGGTCTTCCGATGCGAGCGCTGGCGGTGTGCTCGGTCGGTGGCTTGCCTTCGCTGCGTTCTGATGAGGCCGTGTGTAACGGCGGCTGCTGTCTGGCGCCAGACTACGGCGGCGGCTGGGGCTACTCGCCGCACTCGGAGGAGGCCGTCCGCTTCATGTGCGACTCGGATATTCAGCTGCTGGGATACGGCCTGTACGGCGGCCGCGGACAGTACCAGGCCAGAATCAAGGTAACCCACTGATCCGGATCACCGCCCAGCCAACAGGACGCCTGACTGTGAGCGAGCGCCCGGCCATGACGCGTCGTCTCGCTCGTGACCAGAGCGTGCTGTCGGGGCTCCTGCTGGCACGGGCGACCTTCTGGCGGCCGAACTTTTACATGCTGGTGTTTGAATCGTGTTTGCGTTCGTTCCCTCTCTGTTGACACTTCTGACCCATGTGGACGTTCCCATCTGCACATTTCTGACCAATATTTCCATCTACTGTGACACCTCTGACCCACGCACGCAGTCCCGGCTGTAGACCCTTGACCCGTGTGTCCGCCCTCAGTCGTGCTGCCCTGACCGACCCCATCCCAACTGGATGAACATCCCTGACCGGAACCTGTCCCACAGTCCTACGTCCATCACCGGTGCTCGTCCCCAGCCGTACACCCAAGACCGATGTGTCCGTCCCCAGCCGTACACCCACGACCGATGTGCTCGTCCCCAGCCGTACACCCAAGACCGATGTGTCCGTCCCCAGCCGTACACCCAAGACCGATGTGCTCGTCCCCAGCCGTACACCCACGACCGAAGTGTCCGTCCCCAACCGTACACCCAAGACCGTGTGTCCGTCCCCAGCCGTACATCCATGACTGATGTGTCCGTCCCCAGCCGTACACCCAAGACCGATGTGCTCGTCCCCAGCCGTACACCCACGACCGAAGTGTCCGTCCCCAGCCGTACATCCATGACTGATGTGTCCGTCCCCAGCCGTACACCCAAGACCGATGTGCTCGTCCCCAGCCGTACACCCAAGACCGATGTGTCCGTCCCCAGCCGTACACCCAAGACCGATGTGTCCGTCCCCAGCCGTACACCCAAGACCGATGTGTCCGTCCCCAGCCGTACACTCACGACCGATGTGTCCGTCCCCAGCCGTACACCCGTGACTGATGTGTCCGTCCCCAGCCGTACACCCGTGACTGATGTGTCCGTCGCCAGCCGTACACCCGTGACTGATGTGTCCGTCGCCAGCCGTACACCCGTGACTGATGTGTCCGTCCCCAGCCGTACACCCACGACCGATGTGTCCGTCCCCAGCCGCACACCCGTGACTGATGTGTCCGTCCCCAGCTGTACGATCTTGGCATGGAGGGCGGTGACCACGAGCCCGAGGGAGAGCTGCTCGCCCAGTCCACGGACGTGGTGTACGAGTGCAACGCCCGCCAGACCCACCAGGTCGGTCCAGGCCGGCCCGGGCCGGCCCTGAGGCAGGCCGGCGGGACGGGAGCGGCGCGCGGCGGCCGCCGACGCGCGCGCAGCTCTCGTCTCGTCTGGCGGTGATTTCATGGAGATGGCTTCGCCTTGACCGGGGCCGGGGTGATGACCGGCGGGTTTGGAGAGACGCCTCTGCAGTGAAGTGTGCGGCCCTGACCGGCGCGTGATGACTGGTGCCGCTCTGACCGGGGCCGGGTGTGCGACAGATTCTGTTCGGGGATCCGGTGCCGCTGCAGGCCGGCCGCTGGTACCTGGCCTGGGCCCGCGTCGAAGGCCCCTCCAGCGACTGCGGCTCGGATGGACAGACCATGCTGGTTGGCGAGGACCAGTGAGTGACGCCCGGCACGGGTGCGGAGCCAGCCGTGGTCCGCACCCCAGCCCTTACCGCGGAGCTCACGGCTCGGCGGTCCGTGTCGGCGCTAAGCCAGGGCGACGCTCCACACTGACACGGCGACAGTCCGCTCCGAATGCGCGGCTCACACGGCTGCCAGTGCGCATTAACGCAGGCCAGAAAACACGCGCCACTCCAGGTGGAGGGTAGGCTGCTGAAGTCCTATAAAAGGATAGAGCTCTTCAGCCACACGAAATGAACGCTGAGTATTGGAACAGACAGACAGGAAGTCCGAGTCGGTGCGCCGGCTCCCACAGGCGTCATTGTTTTCACGCGCTGCCCGTCGTCAGGACAGGGCACGGGTGTGCACGCGTGTGCCGATGCATGCGTATGCAGATGGCGCCCACAGGCCTCCGCTAATCACCGCGCGGCGCGCCGCCTCCGCAGGGCCGTCTTCTACTTTAAGTCGTCGAAGCGCTCCAACAACGGCACGGACGTGAATGCCGGCCAGCTGCCGCAGCTGCTGTACCGGCTAGTAACGCCCGAGACAGTGACGTCGGCGGCGCCGCCGGCCGTCTCCGAGCCCGTCTACCCGCTGTCGGCGCGCGTGGCGCTCACCGTGACACCGGTCAGTCGACCGGGGTGCGGGCCTGAGGCAGACGGGGGGGGGGGGGGGGGGGGGGCGGTGAGACCGAGGGCGTCGGTCCAGGGGGAGGACAGGGCAGGGCAGGGTGGCGGAGCACGCCCGTCAGCTGGGCGGCAGAGCGCTGCGCCGGCTGATCTGCTGACACCGCGCCGTGTCGTGTGGGGCAGGCGTGTTTCGAGGCGCTGCTCTCGCTGGTGGAGTGGGCCTGGCGGCTGGCGGTGGCCAACTGCCGCGAGTCGGCGGCCAACGCCGAGCCCGGCCCCACCGCGCTGGCAGACCTGGACCGGCTGGCGTTCGTGCTGACCAGCGCCGGCCGCCTGCTGCTCACCTACACCGGACAAGTGTACCCGCCGGACGGTACGTGTACCCCTGCTGACCTACACCGGACAAGTGTACCCGCCGGATGGTACGTGTACCCCCTGCTGACCTACACCGGACAAGTGTACCCGCCGGACGGTACGTGTACCCCTGCCGACCTACACCGGACAAGTGTACCCGCCGGACGGTGCGTGTACCCCTGCCGACCTGCACCGGACAAGTGTACCCGCCGGACGGTACGTGTACCCCCGCTGACCTACACCGGACGGGTGTACCCGTGTACGTGTACCCCTGCTCACCTACACCTGGTATACGCACTGGTGCACAGCGCGGGGCAGGAGTATGACATGTGTCTGACCCCACGGGATAAGAGTGGACTGCGTTTTCAGTTCGTTTTCCGTACGGCTGTGTAGCGAGGTGCCCTGTTTGCTGCTGGTTTCGGCGTGACATATTGATAGTTCAGTGTATCTGTGGTGAGGACAATGGTGTTGATAGCTGACGTCGTGTTGTGCCGTGTCTGATCACAGGCCAGCTGGGCATGCAGGAGACGCCGCAGCTAGCCCAGTGTATGGTGGACGTTCGCAAACTGGTCCGCCGCATTCTCACAGAGGGCACCTCCATCGTACAGGCACTGCCAGAGAAGGGGACTGCGGGTAAGCAACTGCAGTCGATTTCACAACGTGCTGATGGCTATAAAATGTGTCAAAAATAAACGGGGCTTAGAACATGCATCTGCCTGATCTGAATTTTTCCTGCCATTTTCTATTTCCGTCTGGATCCGTCGGAGCGGTGCAGCGCATTTGTTAAGTGCTTTCCGCATCCTTATGCTGTAGATGTGTTAAGAAGTTTGCCCCCGCTGTTTTTCCTGAAGGCGATTTTCATCACTGCCATGCCATTGTCTTCCTTCAGCAGAGGAAGTGGGCAAGAGGTTGGACCAGGTGCTGGACTCCTTCCACCAGTGTTTCGTCGGCTGCTTCCACGCCTTTTACCCGACGGGGCGGCTCAAGTGGCTCTGCCTGTGCGAGCTGCTGACGCTCCGGGAGACGGTATGGGTCGGGTCGGGTCGGGTCGGGTCGGGTCGGGTCGGGTCGGGTCGGGTCGGGTCGGGTCGATCCAACTATATATGTCTTTTTAGTCATTCTGATCCTGTAAGGACCATTACTGGCCCAAAAGCACTAATCCAAAGGAGACCAAAGCCTTACACCAGACACTGACTCCACGGCACTTACCACTGCATTCCACTATCACTGATGTATCTATCACGTGGTATACCTGCATACGGGGTCATCAGCATGGCCGGTCTGAGGTGCTGGCTGGCGTGGGGCGATGGTCCGGTCCGGCCGGTCTCTGCGCGGCGCCGCCGCTCCACCGGCGGCTGACCCAATCGCCCTGTCCTCCCACAGAGCCGCAGCGGCCAGCACGACCTGCTATTCTCGGCCGTGCTGGCCGCCCTCTGCTGTCCGCTGGTACGGCTCAGCCAGCTGCTGCCCGTCTACGGCGACGAGGAGTTCCAGCGCTCGCCCACCGAGGCGGCGCTCAGTCCGCACCCGACGCTGAGCGACATCACACGGCACCCGGTGCTGGTGGACATGGTCACACACGCCAGTCAGGTGAGGTCTCACCCAGCACCCCTCAGTGGCATCACACGGCCCCCGATGGTGGTGGACACGGTCACACACGCCAGCCAGGTGAGGTCACACCCAGCACCCCTCAGCGACATCACTCGGCCCCCGATGCTGGTGGACACGGTCACACGTCAGCCAGGTGAGGTCTCGATACGTCTAGCTCCACCTGACAACGTTCAAGGGTCAGGATCAAAGTCTTCGCACTTGAGTACCCACTGTCGAGGCGACCAAGCGCCATCAGCCGAAGACACGAGGCCCGAAATGTACACTTGTATTGGCGATGAGCTCGACTTTGTCAGAGATCACGTGATACATACTTGACAAGATCAAAATTGCTTGTGATGGTCTGTAACATGTCAGGCCAGGCGGGGAATACCTTACGTTTATTTCCGTTTTAGCGAAGGCTGCTCAGATGCCACGCATTCATTGTGTGGATGGGAAACAAGCGAGTAACGCCCCCACCTCGCTGGTAGGGGTGAACACCCCTACCAGCGAGGTGGGTAGGGGTGGACACTCCTACCCACCCCTATCTTTACTACGGGAATGCAGTCATGCCCATCACTGTCGCCTTCTTAAGCACTTGACTTTCTCTAAGCCACCGTCCCTTCCTCTGCTGTAATACGGCATACGGCCCACCACACGTAACCCAGTGTCGGACAGGAGGCATACGACCCACCACACGTAACCCAGGGTCGGACGGGAGGCATTGCCTTTTCCTCCTTACAAATGCGTGCTCCCAATTCTGATGCTTCTGTGAGTATCGAAGTATCTGTGAGTATCTTCTCTATGTGAGTCGCCTCTGCGGCCCCTGGATTATTGATGGCATGAAATCAAGTACTGCCTGGTATGATTGTCAGAACATGCGCTGTGTCGTGTTGTCATACCTAAACACAAACATTGAATGAGCGTGAGTAAGCTGAAGCGGCGCCGGCTGCCCCCTAGCTGGAGAAGTCTCCGTCGCCGATGTGGAGCTTCCGGGAGGTGCTGGAGCAGCTGCTGTCGGTGCTGACCCAGCCGCTACGCGTCTGGCTGGGCTCGGAGACGGCGCCCCGCTCGCGCACCGCCATCCGCCTGCAGCAAAACACGTGCGAGCTGCTGGCCTGCCTGCAGGCCGAGCTGGTCTCACAGTGTGTCACGGCCGAGGTAAGTCAGCATGGCCTCGGCGCGGCAGTCGCTGCCGGGTCTGGCCGGCCCCTGAGGCCTATCTGACCGGTATGTACCCCTCAGAGTGAGCTGATGGGCCGGCTCTGGCCGGCCCCTGAGGCGTGTCGGACCGCTGTGTACCCCGCAGAGTGAGCTGATGGGCGTGGTCTGGCCGGCTCCTGAGGCCTGTCTGACTGGTGTGTACCCCGCAGAGTGAGCTGATGGGCCGGGTCTGGCCGGCCCCTGAGGCGTGTCGGACCGCTGTGTACCCCTCAGAGTGAGCTGATGGGCCGGGTCTGGCCGGCCCCTGAGGCCTGTCTGACTGGTGTGTACCCCTCAGAGTGAGCTGATGGGCCGGATCTGGCCGGCCCCTGAGGCCTGCTTGACCGGTGTGTACCCCGCAGAGTGAGCTGGTCGGCCTGGACACACACCCGCTGCACTGGACGCCGTCGCGCTTCACGCGCGTCTCGGCGGCGCGCTCCTGGAACACGGGCAACGGCTCACCAGACGCCATCGCGCTGACCGTGGACCGGCCGGGCGTGCTACTGGCCGGCGTGGTGCTGTACGGCGGCGCCGGACAGTTCAGCTACGACCTCGACCTGCTGGAGGAGGTGGGGCGGCCGCCGGCGCCGGCCGTGACAGGCGCGATGTGACGCACCGTCCAGGCGGAGGGCACGTGCTGATGGTCAGTCCGGCTGTGCCCGGGTTAGGGCTGAGACGCGACAGTGGTGCCAGTTCAAGGCCGGGGTACCATGTGAGCTCTGGAGTGCTAACCCTTTCGTGTGTAGGGTCATTGCGCATTGTTTTGTTTGCATCGCTCACGCCGTGCTGCTGCGTGCTGCGTCGACTCTTGCTGGCCGGCGCCACTGACAGTTGGTCGGCGCGCCGACAGGTGGCGTCTGAGTGCGCCGACGAGCCGGGGGACGTGCCGCTGCAGCAGCGCTGGCCCGTGCTGCAGACGGTCAGCGGCCAGTTCGGGCCAGACCAGACCGACCTGGTCGAGGTCCGCTTCTCCAAACCGGTCCCGCTCAAGGTACGCCGGTGCTCGGTGGACTGGTGGACGGGCAGTGGTGGTGTGCTTGTCTGGGCGCCTCACCTACAAATGGTACGCCAGCGAAGGGCTGCGTGTGTTACTCAGTTATTGTTTGATTGATGGATTGATTGACTGAGTAATAGATCGATTGATTTGGTTAGTGTGAGTGAATGAGAGCTATGGCTGCGAGTGGATGAGTGAACAAGTAAGCAAACATACAAGTGAGTGTCCGTGCGTGCGTGAATGCCTGCTTGCTTGTCTGCTTTCTTGCTTGTTCGTGTTGACGAGGTGATAGTAATTTTAGATGAGTGCGTGCTAGTGATAGCGTCTCTGCTCTGAATGATGTGAACGTGTTCTGTAGAATGCGTGCGTGCCATAGCGTGCACAAGTCCTCAATATCCCGTTGTGGTTGCTCGTGATATACCTTCATGGAAACTATGTACCAAGCTCTGCCAAATGCCTGGGTGGTCCCGTAATGCGATGTGTGTGTGTGTTCCATACCAGCACCGATGGTGATGACAAGCAAAGATAACAATAAGAGCGATTCGCGAGACCCAGCGCAACCGATGCCGTTTGATGTTGTTTGGTATTTGAGATAATGGGGCGCTCAAGGCTTGGGAGGATGCTCCTGTTGATATAATGGGGCGCTCAAGGCTTGGGAGGATGCTCCTGTTTAGATAATGGGGCGCTCAAGGCTTGGGAGGGTGCTCCCGTTGAGATAATGGAGCGCTCAAGGCTTGGGAGGATGCTCCTGTTGAGATAACGGGGCGCTCAAGGCTTGGGAGGATGCTCCTGTTGAGGTAATGGAGCGCTCAAGGCTTGGGAGGATGCTCCTGTTGAGATAACGGGGCGCTCAAGGCTTGGGAGGATGCTCTTGTTGAGATAATGGGGCGCTCAAGGCTTGGGAGGATGCTCTTGTTGAGGTAATGGAGCGCTCAAGGCTTGGGAGGATGCTCCTGTTGAGATAATGGGGCGCTGAAGGCTTGGGAGGATGCTCCTGTTGAGGTAATGGAGCGCTGAAGGCTTGGGAGGATGCTCCTGTTGAGATAACGGGGCGCTCAAGGCTTGGGAGGATGCTCTTGTTGAGATAATGGGGCGCTCAAGGCATGGGAGGATGCTCTTGTTGAGGTAATGGAGCGCTGAAGGCTTGGGAGGATGCTCCTGTTGAGATAACGCGGTGCTCAAGGCATGGGAGGATGCTCTTGTTGAGATAATGGGGCGCTCAAGGCCTGGGAGGATGCTCCTGTTGAGATAATGGGGCGCTCAAAGCTTGGGAGGATGCTCCTGTTGAGATAATGGGGCGCTCAAAGCTTGGGAGGATGCTCCTGTCAACTTTTTGGCGGCTAGAATGTCACAAAATAGTAAGGACGTATTAGCGTGTCCGACATTTTGTGCAGACTTCGATGTGCACGTTCTGAGCCTATAAGTGACGGACATCACGTACGGTTGTCAAGCGAGCGCCTTGGTACCCGAACGCTGGATTGGATCCCAATGTTTGGATGTCGAAGTGTTCCCCATCAGCAGAAAAAAGGGAACACATGATCGCTCTGATCTCGACATCGTCCTCAGAGCAGGTAATTGTGCTGTGGTCCGCCTCCCCGCCTCTGCGACCCCACTTTGGCATGATCACAGCATTTTCAGAAGAGATGGTTGATAGAAATGAAGCCATCACATCTATCACGCCTGTCCCAGCCAACCGCCTTGCACATGCCTGTTACGAGCCAACGGGCGAAGTGTGGGCGAATGCCAAACGGGGCTTAGGCCAAGAGGTCATGAGTGCCGTGTTAGTGAATGATTGCTTCAAGCACTCGTTTTCTTTGCGCAATTCCTGCAGTAAGTCTTCGTTACTTTTCCGTCTTTGCGTGGCAGCCCCATCTATTGAAAAGCTCGGTGTCTGTCTGTCGGCCACGTGTGGCGTTGGCCTGCTCTGAGGCTCTGCGCCGCCGCCGCCGCCGCCGCAGGAGGGCGCCAGGTACGCGCTGCGCCTGCGCAACTCTGGCGGCCGCACCAGCAACGGCGACGGCGGCCAGAGCCGCGTCAAGGGACCCGACGGCACCGTCTTCAGCTTCGCCACCTGCCCGCTCAGCCTGAACGGCACCAACCAGACGCGTGGTCAGCTGCCGCAGCTGCTGTACTACAGCCTGACGCCGCGGCAGCCGGGCCCCGGCGCCGGCGGGCGGCCCGGGCAGCGGGCGCGGCGCGCCGCCCTCGGCCTGCTGCAGGCGCTGACGCGCGCCGCTGCCGACCTGGCGGCCGGCGCGCGCGGCGTCGGCTCGGCGGCCGCCGTGCGCGTGGTGGCGCGCAGCCTGCTCACCACGCGCCTGATGCCGGCCGCGCTGGCGCACGTGGCCTGCATGGTGCCGGCCGACCCGCGGGTACGTGACAGCGCCCAATGACGGCGGCAGTACGTGGGCACCACGCTGTTCAGTCACATCTCGTGCATTCCAGTTACGCGCAGGTAGCTTGTGTTGCAGGAATGTATAGGATTGGCGTGGATTGGTAGGTCGTTATGAGCCAGCTGTCGATCCGTGCCAGGTCCCCTGACATGTGCCTGTCAGCGGTCACGAGGGGACGCTCTGGCGGAGTGCGGCGGGCGGTGCTGTACGCTGACCGCCGAGCCGCCGGAGCCTGACCGCGCCCGCCCACCGCTGCCCGCAGACGGCCGTCCAGGTGATGTCGCTCATCCAGGAGCTGCTGCCGCACGTGGCGGCGCTCAACAACCTGGCGCTGGCACTGCGGCAGCCGGCGCCGGACCCGGCCGACGCGCCGCCCACCGTCTCGCCGCACTGCTGCTGGGTGGAGAGCGAGCACCCGTACCCGGCGGCCACCATCCGCCGACAGCGGTGCGTGCCGGCCGGCGCTGGCCGGGACGGCGTGAGCCTCCGTCACCCGTCTGGTGTGGGACGGCGTGAGCCTCCGTCACCCGTCTGGCGTGGGACGGCGTGAGCCTCCGTCACCCGTCTAGCGCTGGCCGGGACGGCGTGAGCCTCCGTCACCCGTCTGGCTTGGCCGGGACGGCGTGAGCCTCCGTCACCTGTCTGGCGCTGCTCGACCGTTACGCTGGTGTGCACACATGACACGCTCGCATTAAAAGCCACGAATGGCCGTGTTTGTCGTTACGAATGACCGAAAGCCAGGAAGGGTATTTGGTGGGAGTTGGGCGCATGTCGCCGTCAGTTTGTCGTGTCCGGTGCGTGGCCCGTGGGTGGTATGCGTGGGCTGTGTCTGCCGACCGTGTGCCCGGCCCCATGAGACAACGCGACGGCGCCGGTCTGAGCGTCGCCGGCCCGACCCTCCGCCAGGGTCCACTTCCCCAAGTCGGTGCTGTGGATGAGCGTCGAGTTCGACGCGCGCTGCTGCACCGTCCAGCCGGAGGACCAGCTGTTCGTGCAGGTACCGGCTGAGGCTGAGGCGGCCGGAGGCGGCGGCGGCGGCGGCAGCGGCGGCGGCGGCAGCGGCAGCGGCAGCGGCAGCGGCGGCGGCGGCGGTGGTGGCGGCGGCTGCGGCGGCGGCGGCGGCGGCGACAGCGACGGCGGCGGCGGTGGCGGCGCTGACCGACTCGTCACGGTCGTCGCGCTCTCCGGCAGCGAGGGCTGGCCACGCTCGGCGCTCCTGCTGCCCGGTACGGCCGACGAGGCGCTCCGCGCGCACGTGCCACGGCGTGGGAGCGGCGGCACGAGACTTCGGCATTGCTCCGTATGGTACCAAGTCGAAATGGATGTACTGTGTGGACGGTGGGGTGGTTTATGTACGCTCTGTTGAGGAGCTGTTTGCCTTCGCAACATTTGTCCGTGGAATGACGATAGGATCATAATGACCTGGTCCCGAAATGATAGCCATGTGATGGGCGGGATGGGGTTTTCACTCCTCACCGCTCTGTGACCGTCTTCGCCCCGAGCGCCCTCCGGACAGCGGACCAGGCCAGCGGCCGGTGATATGTGACGGACGGCGCCGGCCGCCGCCAGGCTGTGAGCTGGTGTTCTCGCTGGAGACGGCGTCTGACTACGTGCGCGACGACCGGTCCGGCTCGTTCGGCTTTCGCTGCCTGGTGACGGGCTACGAGCCGGCCGCCTCCGACGGCGTGCAGCACCTGGAGCAGGAGCTGGCCTACCTGGGCGGCATGTGCGCTGCCGCCCTCATGCGCCGCAACATGCCGCTGCCGGCCGTCGCAGGTCAGTGGGCAGCGGCCACGGCACGGGCGCGGGGCGGTGCGCGTGCCGTACCGCTGGGGGACGCTCGGCACGGGCGCAAGCCAGCTTACATCGCATAGTCACCAGTGCTGTCGCAGTGTCTGTTGGATTGGCGCCGGTTAATTAGGGCGGGCAGAATGCGGACAGCACCTCACTGGCCAGCCAGAACGGGAAGGTAGGGTCACCATGGGTTCTGTTTGTGACTACTAGCTTTCTAGTCTTCTCGTTGGAAGTTTTGGTTGGTGGTCAAGCTTTAATGTATGTTTCGTTTGCAGTAGGCAAGGCGAGTCTTATGCCAATGGTTGTGTCAACCATAATAATACTCCGGAAAGATCCCTGAATTCCGTGCAGGCCAGTTATTGCCTGATGAGGCCTGTATTGCCGGAGATGCTCGATAAGCTCGATCACGCTAACGACTGTACTTCCTGTAAACCCCCCTTTCATTTTTACTGCTTCGTGAGATTGCTGGAACAATACCATGAATCAACCAAACGCAGCCTTTTCAGGGATGTCAGAACTGCAGCAATGCACTGCTAACTATCCACTGCAAAGCCAGTACAATAACCACTGTAGTAGCACTGCTACAGTAACTCGCCTCACCACGCCACGATAGGGGCCAGGGTCAGCCGCGGCGTCCGCCCGTCCGCGCTCAGTACACGCGGCAGCGCTGGGGATGCCGCGGTTTCCTGGCGCTGATGCGGCCGGCAGCGGCCGCCGCTGCTGAGCTGCCGTCGGAGTTCCCCGGACTGGGCGCCGCAGAGCTAACTATCGCCTGCCCTCGGCCGGGCCGTGTCCGGTCACGTGTCCACCGAGGCCCGCACGGTCTGCAGAGATGGGAGCGCACGAGACGCGAGACGTCTTCACCGCGGCTGCCAGTTCAAGCTTATGGAACGCCAGACTGTGTTACAGGGCTCACAGCTGACGTTTGTAACTTCACCCCAGCCGAAGCTGTCCCTCTGGCCCGTACGCGTTGACGGACGGTGCGATCCTCGGCGCTCGGCGCGACCCTTGACGCCCCGTGTGACCCGTACCTCCGCCAGACGGTATACCCCCCGGCGGCGCCCCGCGTGACCCGTACCTCCGCCAGACGGTATACCCCCCGGCGGCGCCCCGCGTGACCCGTACCTCCGCCAGACGGCCCCTCCCCCCGGCGGCGCCCCGCGTGATCCGTACCTCCGCCAGACGGTATACCCCCCGGCGGCGCCCCGCGTGACCCGTACCTCCGCCAGACGGTATACCCCCCGGCGGCGCCCCGCGTGATCCGTACCTCCGCCAGACGGTATACCCCCCGGCGGCGCCCCGCGTGACCCGTACCTCCGCCAGACGGCCCCTCCCCCCGGCGGCGCCCCGCGTGATCCGTACCTCCGCCAGACGGCCCCTCCCCCCCGGCAGCGCCCCGTGCGACCGTATGACTCTGAGCAGCGCAACGCAACTTCTGGTCGACTTTTTCCCTGTTCGGTGGTACGGTTTGTCTCCGGAACCGATTTCAATGCTGTCGATTCCGAGAACAGCAGGCTGAGAATACAATGCGAACAGTGCAGTACAAGTGGCTTCGCTGCAATGTTGAATTCATCACGTAACGCGCGAGAACTGGCTAAATGCGTTCACGAACATAATACTTATGCAAACAGGTGTTCAGTGGCAAGAGCTTCAGTTCGCTGCTTTTTTAGTCAACTGACTGTCGACTTTGTTGAGTCAACTCGAACTCGGACCCAACAACGGCTCAAAAGAAAGGATTCGAGCCTGACAAGGCAAATTTGGTTGACTCCCGCGTCGCTCCCGAACTCGCGCGAGGTGCGCTGCATGCGTGCTCCACACTCCACACACTGCCGGCCGCCGGACCGTTTGGCGCCTGTTGACCCCTGCTGTGGCCCCGCCCCGCAGACGACGACCCGCGGCTGGAGCCGGACCAGGTGGACGAGGTGGCGCGCGACACACTGTCGGCGCACTCGGCTCTGCTGCGCGGCGGCCTGGCGCTCTCGCAGCAGCCCACCGTCAGTCAGGCGCTGGATGGCGTCATCCCCTTCAGGTCAGTGGTCGCCCTCTCCGGTGCGGTAGGGCAGCAGCCGCGCACGCTTGGCTGCCAGTCGAGGTAGGCTGCCATCCACAAGGGCCCGGCTCGACGCTATAGCCATGTTTGTGTGATTATGTGACTCCACAGGTCGTGATAGCGGTACAATGTACTGCTAGAGCATACAATAATGATATTAGTGGCGGCAGGTGACCTCTGTGCCTACTGAGACCTACGTATTGTGTGGCCATGTATTCATATGTATGAAACATGCCGCCCGTCTTATCTAGTCCTAACCGGATCGCCAATCTGTGTCGTCGAAGCCTTGCGAGAGCCTCCCTCTATTCGGTTAAACAGCCGTCCGACTCGCCAGCAGCAGTGTATGGCTTCGCTTGCGACCTGTCGTAGCATTGCGTCTTCGGAGAACGATGTGGAAAAGGTGCACTAAATGGCGTGTGGGTGCTGGAGTCTGTCCGATACTAGCAGGCTGCTCTAGCTTCCGGCTTCCGAGCCCTCTTGATGGAGGGGAGGGGGATTCGGCCCCTCCTCGGCTTTCCTGTCACATTGTCAAACCCTTCCGGCCAGAGCGTAGAAACTTGGCGAATTTCCCCGACTGTCGCTTTAATCCATCTGCATGGTGCATCTTGCATTGCATTTTTCGCTGGTTTGAGACATTGCCAAAGTTCAGTGCGCGTGTCACAAAATGGAATTTACAAGGAGTACTGCGGGCTGCAGAGCAACGCTTTGGTGAATATTACATCCTGTTTTCTAGGACTCTTTTCTGATGTCCTGCATTCGTCATTAACTCAAAAGCAATCCGCATGTGTTCCTTTGGGATCGCCGTAGTCGCAGCATACATATGATATCTGCGGAGAGTGCAACAGATCTGAACGCCTCATTTTGATAAAGCAAAAGGTTTGCGTCTTCGCGACATTTTGCCCTCCTGAGTATGCCACTTCTGACGTATTTTAAGATATGCGTCTTAGCAAAAAAAAAAAACTAGCTCGGCACAGGCTTTCGTTCGAAACTTCACTCGTTACAACCGGCCTAGTAGATTACGAGTTGCCGGAGGTTCAGGTGGTACCTTGGATTTTTAGTGAAATGCTCTGCATGCCAATAGTGTTTGGATGAATGATTTCGTGGCGGCGGAGTTCCTTCCGGGCAGTTCCGCGGTTAGGAGTGGCAATAATAGCGCGCTCAGAGGCAGCCCGGCCTGGTATGCGGCATGGGTAATACGCGACGAGAACGTGATGATATGGATGCTCTGTGCCATAGCGCGTGACGTGAGCACACTGCCAGAGTCCTTACATTACATCGGTGCACCGGCAGCGATAACAGTAATATTACAAGCCTAGCCGTCAGCTTCCATTACATACTTATAGTGACTGTTGATGACTCCTGCGTATCCCGGTTTGTGTATTTTGGTGGCAGCATTCACACGAAAAGACTGGATTGTTCTCAAGTATTGTGTGTCGCTGCATTCTCGGTGACTCGACGTCAACCAGGCATATATATGATGCAGTTGGGTTATAATACACTGCGGTGTTGCAAAACCGCTCCCTTGAGTAGCGATGCAAACAAATGACAAGATTGCGACCCGTCACATCCCCTGGAGATTTTCTGTGAGGATCACGCCAAAGCATCACTACCATATTGTCACATTTTATGGTATTTTGTGTTCGTTTGTACACAGTAAAAATGTCCGCAATGATTGGAAGGTGAGATCCTGTTGAATGACATCAGCTGGCTGGCAGCTGGATATTCCCCAACGGCTCGAGCACATGCTTTAGCCGGCAGCCCTCCCCCTCCCCCCCCCCCCGACTTATGTGCTTCGTCCTACCTCACCTAGGGGCGCTGTCGGCCTCAGCCAAGCCCTCCCCCGCCCCGATTTACGAGCCTTGTCCTACCTCGCCTAGGGGCGCTGTCGGCCTCAGCCAAGCCCTCCCCCGCCCCGACTTACGAGCCTTGTCCTACCTCACCTAGGGACGCTGTCGGCCTCAACCAAGCCCTCCCCCTCCCCCACTTACGAGCCTTGTCCTTCCTCACCTAGGGACGCTGTCGACTTCAACCAAGCCCTCCCCTCCCCCACTTACGAGCCTTGTCCTTCCTCACCTAGGGGCGCTGTCGACTTCAACCAGCATATCGATACACGGTTCACAGCCGCTCGTTCGCGACTTACTGCTCACCCCATGATCATGGTCACGCGCAAGCGAACATCAGTAGCTTCATATCGATACACGGCTCACAGCCGCTCGTTCGCGACTTACTGCTCACCCCATGATCATGGTCACGCGCAAGCGAAAATCAGTAGCTCCATATCGATACACGGTTCACAACCGCTCGTTCGCGACTTACTGCTCACCTCATGATCATGGTCACGCGCAAGCGAACATCAGTAGCTCCATATTGATACACGGTTCACAGCCGCTCGTTCGCGACTTACTGCTCACCCCATGATCATGGTCACGCGCAAGCGAACATCAGTAGCTCCATATGGATACACGGTTCACAGCCGCTCGTTCGCGACCTACTGCTCACCCTATGATCATGGTCACGCGCAAGCGAACATCAGTAGCTCCGATCGAGGGTGAGCCCGCCGAAAGCCCGTGTCTCACCAAACAGACGCAGAACATTAGAGCGGCGTCACCTCACAGTTTGTACGACGTGCTCGTCTGAGATGTACCACAACAGAAATGAAGGGCTGACGGGAACGGAAAATGCCATACGGAGCACCAGCAGACGCCATACGGAGCACCAGCAAATGCCATACGGAGCACCAGCAGGTGCCGCACTTCTTTATGTACACAATAAAACCGATCCGGGGGGGGGGGGGGGGGCACCCTGAATCCCTTTAGGTGGCTTTTGTCTTGTCCGGCCGGCACGCGCCTGTGCACGGCTACGCGTCCACCATAGAGGTCTCGGTGCCGGAGTCCTGGGATGTGGCTCTGCTGTAGCCGGGGCGTGCGGCTGGACTGCGGGGCATCAGCTCGGTGCGGGAGTCCTGGGACGTGGCTCTGCTGTAGCCGGGACGTGCGGCTGGACTGCGGGGCATCAGCTCGGTGCGGGAGTCCTGGGACGTGGCTCTGCTGTAGCCGGGACGTGCGGCTGGACTGCGGGGCATCAGCTCGGTACGGGAGTCCTGTGACGAGGCGGTGCCGTACCGGGGCCGTCGCGGGGGCGGTGCGGCTGGTCGCGCCGGGCCAGCGGGCTGCGTCAGGCGGTGCAGGACGTCGGCGAGCCGGCGGCGGCGCGACACGACCACGTACAGCAGCGATAGCACGGCCACCGCCACCCCGACCAGCACCACGTAGAACACAACCGTCTGGTCGTCGGTGCCCTTTTGGGCGGGGCCCGGCGACGGACCAGGGGCTGGGCTGGCGGCCGGCAGCGGACCGCAGCGCATCGCGGAGAGGCGCGCCAGCACCTGCCGCTGGCCGAGCGTGGCGCAGAAGGCGGCCGACAGGAGGCGACCGGCGAGCGCGGCGGCGGCGGCACCCGGCGTCGACCCGTCGGCGCCGGCCAGGCGGCGCGCCGCCGCGCGCATGTCGCAGTGGCACGGCAGGCTGGTCAGGTAGAGCCGGTCCACCTGCAGGCCGGCCGCCCGCACGGTCTCGTTGAGCAGCAGACTGTGTGGCGCCGCCTCGCCGATACTGATGAGCCGCAGCTGCAGCTCGGCCGTGGCGCCCAGGCCGGCCAGCGCGCCGCCCTGCAGCTGACCGATGCGGAGCCGGCGGAGCGCGGCGCTGCGGACGGCCGCGTGCACGGCGTTCGCCTCCAGGCTGCCAAGCAGGCTGCGCTCGACCCGCAGCCGCCGCAGCCGGCCGCTGACGGCGTGCGACCGCATCACGTCCAGGGTGCTGTCGGTCACGGCCAGCTCGCGCAACTGGGCCGACACGGCCATCGGCTGCAGCTGGTGCACGTGCGTGCGGGAAAGCAGCAGGACGCCGCCGCGGCGCAGCTGGAAGCAGAGCGGCTCGGCGCTGTGCAGCCGGCACGCCGTTAGCTCCAGGCGGGTCACTCCGGCGCCGAAGGTTGTTGGCGCGCACTCCGGCATGGTGACGTTGGTGAGTGTGACGGCGGCGAGTGGCGCCGCCAGCGCGCGGCCGGCGCAGTCGAGCTGCGCCACATCCGAGACCGAGAGGCGCGCGCCGGCCGCCCATCGGCCCGAGAGGGCGCCGTTCCGCAACGACAGCTCGCCCACCCGCGCCACGCCGAACGAGCGGAGTCGGCCGCGCGCCGGCGGCCGCACTCCAGCCCACTCTATCAGCAGCCGGCCGATGTCACGGAGCGTCACCGTCTCCAGCAGCGCCAGGCGCCGCGTGGCGTTGCTGCTGATGATGACCTCCTGTTCGTGCGAAATGTTGAGGGAGATGGCGTTGGCTGGAATGTCGCCGGCTTGCAGCTGTGGGTAGGAAAAGGGCTGCGGTCATTGACGAAACAGTGAAAGCTGACCCCAGGACGCGCCGCTGTTGATGTTCTTATGAAACGCTTTGTGGCTCCAGCTCCTGTTGGTGTAAATACTATCATGCTAGGGGTACAGAAACAACAGTTTCATAGGTCTCATGAGTAAATCGGCAAGAATCATACGCCTAACGTAAGAAGGTCCATTAGCGTGATGCTCTCCGAAGACCCTGATCAAACGCGCCAGACGCACCAGTCCCGCCCGCCAGACCCGCCAGTGCCGGCCGCCAGACCCGTCAGTCCCGACCGCCAGACCCGCCAGTCCCGGTCGCCAGACCGGCCAGTGCCGGCCGCCAGACCCGTCAGCCCCGGCCGCCAGACCCGCCAGTCCCGGCCGCCAGACCCGCCAGTCCCGGCCGCCAGACCCGTCAGTCCTGGCGTGTCCGGCTGTGTCTGTGGACGTACCACGAGCCGCCCGCCGACGCCGGTGCAGTGAGCCTCGCCGGCGGCGCTGAGCCAGCAGGGAGCCAGTTCAACAGCGGCGCTCGCTGCTGACAGCAGACAGCCGCCGACGAGGGCCGCCAGCAGACGGCCGGGCCGCATCGCCGCTGACACGGCGCTCCGACGCAGCGCTCCGAACCGTCAGGCGCTCCGAGACGCTGGGCACTCCGGCGCGGCGCTCCGAGACGCTGGGCACTCCGAAGCGGCGCTCAGACGCGGCGCTCCGAGCCGTCGGGCGCTCCGACGCGGCGCTCCGAGCCGCCGGGCCGGGAGGGCGACCGGCGCCTTGTCACGGGCCGGTGCTTGCAGTGTGGCCGTTCCGGCTCGGTCCTGCCCGCAGCCGACACAGCACGTGACGCAGCGGTGTGTGCGCGGGGTGTCCTCTGAGGACGCTGCTGGTGCGGCGGAGGCACGGCTGGCACGTGCGCGGGGTGTCCTCTGAGGACGCTGCTGGTGCGACGGAGGCACGGCTGGCACGTGCGCGGGGTGTCCTCTGAGGACGCTGCTGGTGCGACGGAGGCACGGCACGGCTGGCGCGTTCGGAGGCGCTGACGATAGGCTCTCTGGACTCGGAACACACACGCACACACACACACATACACACACGCACGCACGCACGCACGCACGCACGCACGCACGCACGCACACGCACGCACGCACACGCACACGCACGCACACGTACGCACGCGCGCACGCACACAACGCGCATGTCATCATTTAAAACCAGCTATGACTACGCAAACTAGAGAGCAAATTTGGGCATTGAGTTATCATTAAAGGCGAATTGTATGCAGCTTTTACGCTCTGGCTAGTACATGCCCTCATTTATTTGGTTGCGGAGTTACAGTGGTCGAACAACTGAACAATGGGAATAAGCGGGATCTGCAATCTGGTCCTTAGGTAGTCTAGCAGTGGCGCACGGTGAACACCAATGAGGTCGGCTCGACGCCACAGCGCGCGCCTCACCTAACTCCGCAAAGCATGAACCTCCGGGGGACCGTCAGGCGACGCCTCCGCCGCCACCCGAGCTCTCACCTATCGGGCGGCGACGCCGCGCGTGCACCTCATGTGGACGGTTCTCGTGACGCGTCCGGAGGGCGGTCGGTGGCGCCGGGCCGCGGCAGGGGCGACCGCGCTGGTCCGAGTCGCTCGAGCTGGCGTCTGCGCCGCCAGCCGGCCTGTCGCCGTCTGCAGCCGCGTTCTGTGCCGCTTGCGATAGGGCCGCGCGGCCGCCGACAGCGCGGCGCAGCGCCCGGGCTCTATCGGAGCGGCGGCCCCGTCCGGCCGCGGCGCGCCGTCTGGCAATCACCGGCCGCAGAGGTCGGACGACCAGCCGGCCGGGCAGCACCGTGGCGTCGGCGGCAGCAGCGCTGGTGACAGGGCTGGGTGTAGGGTGTAGCTTTAGTCTTCCGCGTGACCGCCGAACACTGCCGAGCTTGACTTCTTTAGTCTTCCGCGTGACCGCCGAACACTGCCGAGCTTGACTTCTTTAGTCTTCCGCGTTACCGCCGAACACTGCCGAGCTTGACTTCTTTAGTCTTCCGCGTGACCGCCGAACACTGCCGAGCTTGACTTCTTTAGTCTTCCGCGTGACCGCCGAACACTGCCGAGCTTGACTTCTTCAGTCTTCCGCGTGACCGCCGAACACCGCCGAGCTTGACTTCACAGGGCAATGCACACGCTTTCCTCTGGAGCCCGCCAGATGGCTGCATGGATCGGCTAGCCTGGGTGTTCGGAGTCGGCGGCCGCGGCTCCGTCCGACGCCGGGGTCCGACGTGTGGCCGGCAGCACCGTGTCACCCGCCAGCGCGTCGGTCGACATATCCATCCCGGAGCCGTCGTCGGTATATGGCGTCCGTCTGGGCGTCCGTGCCCCGGCCGTCTGCTGACCCACACTGTGCGTCACCAGGCTGCGGGGCCGGGACAGCGCAGGCGCCCCGGCGGCCGGTGTGCCCGGAATCCCATCTCACCGCGCGTCCCGCCCGCCGCCAGTTGCCACAGCAACGAGCGCGTGTTCCTGCGCGACCTGGTGACGGCGCGGCCGGGCACGAGCGGCGCCCGGCTGGCCGGCTGGCTACAGCCGGAGCCACGCCTCGAGCCGGCGCTCACCGAGACCGTGTGTGGCGGCGACGAGCCGCGCTGCGGCTGGCCGGCCGCCGTCACCGTCACCACGCGCGACCAGCACGGCCAGCTGGCCTACACGGCTGGGCTCAAGGTGAGCGGAGCTGTGCGATGGGCGCCGCAGGGCGGTTCCTCGAGGCGCCGCTGGCTCCCTCGTGAGACCTATGTAACGTGTAAAGTAGGGCTAGCGGGCCTGCGCTGCGGAGTGCGGTTGTGGCTGTGGTGATCGGTTGTCCCGGCGCGCGGCGCGTCTGGTCCCACCTGTCTGCCAACGCGCTGCAGCTGGCACCTGCGGCAGGCGCGCTGGACGCAGCCGCCTCCCAGCCGTGCTGCCGTCCTGTTCAGGTGGGCTGGTGGTCTGGGACGTGCGGGCGGGATCTCTGTCTGATGCCGGAGTCCGTCGGCTAGGTGGAGGTGCGCGCCGAGCCCATCTCGGCGGTGGAGGACGCGGCGGCCGGCAGCTGCAAGATGCGCCGCATCAGCCAGGTGGACAACAGGTCGTTCGGGGGCCACCCGGTGCCGTCGCTCGACACTCCGTACGAGGTCACTGTCAAGGACAAGATGTGCTACCAGGCCATCAGCCTGATGCCGGTAAGAGCGGCGGCGGCCGGTCCGACCGCCGGCCATGAGGGGTGTGTCGGTCGGCCCGACAGCCGGCCGTGAGGGCTGTGTCGGCCGGTCCGACAGCCGGCCGTGAGGGGTGTGTCGGCCGCTCCGACAGCCGGCCGTCAGCCGTTTATCCCCCCTCAGTTTGAAAGTCACCGCTGCTTGTCTTGATGCCGAATGACACATCACCTAGTGAGTGGGCTGATATGGTCAGTGACGGTCGTGTTGAGGCGTTTTCTTTTTGTTGAGGCGTTTGAGGCCCAGGCGTTTTCTCTGAAGTTTCGGTGTGTCTGGCTTTATAACTGGTAGCATCGAGCAGTGACATGCGATTTCTCCTCTTTGTTCAGATCACGTTGTCTACCTGCCACGTTCATCTGTACGCATTACCACGGTAACACGTGTGATAATGTTCCATTGTGGTGTCAGGCTGCAAGCAAGGCCTAGCCGATCACATGCTACCTGCATGGTGTAATATTGCAAACATCAAGCAGCCTTGGAAAGTCGGCCGTTGCTGAGCGTGGCCAGCTGGCAGCTGATCGGAGGGGACCGGCGGGGGACCGGAGTACAGCGTGGTATTAAACGGCTGCCAGTGCCAATAAGGCTACCAGAACGCTAGTGGGAAGGTCAGACTCCGAAACAATGGCTGCCTTGTATCAGTCGATAGAGGTGTGGTCATTGGAGCGTCCCTGGGCTTGGTGGTTATACCTGGTGCATTCATCGCCTCTAAAGCGCGCGATGATTGGTGCGGTAGCATCGCCACTTCAGTTTGCTGATAAGATGGCCTAGACAGCCTTCACACTGACAAGCTGTCGCTGTGCTCGTGTTGGGCTGACGTGTCAGTGTCCAGGCGTCTGCGGCGAGCAGTAGCTGTGCCGAGCTGACGTTTTGCTTGGGACAAGGTAACTGAGTGCAGGCGAAGGTGGCGGACATTTATGCAGATATAACAGTTACACCGATTACTGGCTGCCAACGGCTAGGTCTGGAGGGAAACAGGTACTTCACCTTCTTCAGATGAAGAGTGTGACCGAGGTCTATGGTCGGTGTGGCGGCAGAGGGGTGCCCCGTGCTGTCACGGTGGGCCGTGGCTCATCGCTTGCCTGCACCAGGTGTTCGGTCTGGGAGATGGCACTGGAGCTGTTGGCACGGAGCCTGCAAGCGTCCACATCGCTGTGACTGTTCGTGGCCCGCGTCAGTTTAAAGCGCCTGAACGCATCGCACGCCAGTGAACACCAGATGTCTGCACGTTAGAGACCTGTGAAGCAGCAATGACAAAACGAATGCTGGAATTAAGACCGTCCGTGTCGTATAAAACTGACGTAGTAGAGGCGCTGGCAGCTGCAGAAATGGCGTCATAGACGAGGATTATGTGAAGTTGTGTCCATAGTGACGCATGGCACACCATTATAATATCAGATTGGCACGGGCGGATCCAGCTGGTGATGTGTTCATGAAATCGAAAGGTAGTTAACTAACACACCTTTCGTGTAGAAGGGGGCGTAGCGGACATGCTTTCAGTTCGTTTGTATCAGTCTTTTGTCGCGTGCGTGCATCAGACCGTGAGTTGTATTTGTAATTACGACAGCGAGACGCTACGCTCACGGCTGGAGACTGCTTGTGAGACGATCCGTAGTCATGGGATGCTGGAGACCACCGCGGCATCCGGGAGGCTCAGTGCGTCAGGCTGATAACGTGGATATGGGGTGGACTGCAGCTCCCTTTGTCACTTGTTGATGGCATTGCTATACACGCTACGCGCACGCTCGACGGATGTGATTTCTGCTGCCGAAGCGGGATGCGTGTGACTGGTGGAGCCTGTCGTGTGGTGGTGTCGGGCCGATGCTGTCCGGGGTACGGACACGGCGGCGAGCATAGTCGGACTGCTGGCCGTCCCGGAACCAAGCCGTCTGTGCGCCGGCCGGCAGGCGTACAACACGTACTCGTTCGAGGAGCTGCGCTTCATCGCACCGGCCGTGCGCCGGCCGGCCGAGAACATGATGGTGCGCTCGAACGGCGACGGCACGTACAGCGCCAGCTGGACGCCGGCCGCCAGCGGCTGGTACGGCATCCACGTCACCATAGACGGAGCCGCGCTCGACGCCGTGAGTAGCCCAGCGCCGGTGCCGTGCCGTGCCGTGCCGTGCCGTGCTGTGCTGTGCCGTGCCGCGCTGCCCTGTGGTCGGTCTGCGGTGTCATCCGAGACAGGTAGCCCAGGATCGTTCGTGTCTTGTATTGTTGGTCGTGGTAGTTGAGGCAGGAAGTCGTGCTCGCGGAGCGCTGACCGGCGGCCGGGTGCGGCAGGTGGAGCGGGTCCAGGTGCGGGAGCCACCGCAAGGCTTCCTGCCGCCGGTGGCCAGCCAGCCGGCGCGGCGCGCGCCGCCGGCCCGCCGCCACCGGCGCTTCTGCGCGCAGAACTCGGCCGGCCTCCGGATCCGCTCGCACCCGAGCCTGCAGTCGGAGCAGGTGGGCGCCGTGCCCGTGGGCGGACACATCACCTTCGTGGACGAGGTGAGCTGGCCGGGCCCGGCGCCTGGCGAGGGTCAGGTGGGTGCGGCGATGCTCGTCGTCCGCGGCTAGCGCTGGTCACCGTGCTCACTCCTTTCTGGGGCTAGAATTGAATTTTAGCTTTATAGGTTTGTGAATAGATTTTGACATGGCATGAATTACTCGTACAACTTGCAGCACACTCTTCAATCGTAAGATGTGTTATTCGCTTAGTTACAAACTCTCCAAATGTTATTAAAGCTGTGCAATGCTAGGCTTCAAGCGGTCTTTGGCCAACACGCAGGACCGCGCAACCCCGTGTTATGTTTGTAAGAGACGTTTGCTCGGCCCACGGCAGCCGTGGTGCGGGACAAGCGCGCCGGCTCTCTGCCTGCTTGAGGCGTGTTCGGCTTGATGACCAATAGAAGTGAAGGCCGACTTACCATAAGCTAGCCGGCGGCAACTGGCAACGGCGTTAGTGGGCGAGCGGTGACAGCGTCGCTGTCCCGACCGGCCAGGTGCACAACGACGATGGCGTATGGGTGCGTCTGTCGCCGGACTCCATGCACGAGTTGTGCGGCCGCCGGCCGCCGGCCGAGGGCTGGTGCCTGCAGTACAACCAGCACCTGGGCAAGACGCTGCTGGTGCCGCCCGACGAGCCGCCGCCCTCGCTCGATGACGTCATCAACCAGGCCATCCAGACGCAGCTCCCCGAGAACAGGTCAGCCATCCAGGCGCAGTTCTCGAGAACAGGTGTCATTCAGGTGCATTTCCCGAGAACAGGTCAGCCATTCAGGCGCAGTTCCCGAGAGCAGGTCAGTCGTTCAGGCGCAGCTTCCCGAGAACAGGTCAGCCATTCAGGCGCAGTTCCCGAGAACAGGTGTCATTCAGGCGCAGCTCCCGAGAACATGTGTCATTCAGGCGCGGTTCCCGAGAGCAGATGTCATTCAGGCGCAATTCCCGAGAACAGGTGTCATTCAGGCGCATCTCGCTGAGAACAGGTCAGCCATCCAGGCGCTATCATTCTCAGGGAGCGGGTCAGCCATGCGGACGCGGTAGATCTCCGAGGAAAGTTTGCCGTCCATGCGGATGTCCTTGAACATGGACCAGCCATCCAGACGCATTCCCTTCGGAACAGATCAGCCATTGCGAGGATTTCATGAGCACCTATTAGCCAGCGTTTGTGTTTTTGAGCGCGCCGAGCTGCGGGGGCGTGGTCGGTCTGAGGTGTACGGTCGGCTGAGGTGTGCGGTCGGCCTGAGGCGTGCGGTCGGCTGAGGCGTGCGGTCGGCTGAGGTGTGCGGTCGGCTGAGGTGTGCGGTCGGCCTGAGGTGTGCGGTCGGCTGAGGCGTGCGGTCGGCTGAGGTGTGCGGTCGGCTCAGGGGTCAGCTGAGGTGTGCGGTCGGCCTGAGGCGTGCGGTCGGCTGAGGTGTGCGGTCGGCTGAGGTGTGCGGTCGGCTGAGGCGTGCGGTCGGCTGAGGCGTGCGGTCGGCTGAGGTGTGCGGTCGGCTCAGGGGTCGGCTGAGGCGTGCGGTCGGCTGAGGTGTGCGGTCGGCTCAGGGGTCAGCTGAGGTGTGCGGTCGGCTGAGGCGTGCGGTCGGCTGAGGTGTGCGGTCGGCTGAGGCGTGCGGTCGGCTGAGGCGTGCGGTCGGCTGAGGTGTGCGGTCGGCTCAGGGGTCAGCTGAGGTGCGCGGTCGGCTGAGGTGTGCGGTCGGCCTGAGGTGTGCGGTCGGCTGAGGCGTGCGGGCGGCTGAGGTGTGCGGTCGGCTCAGGGGTCAGCTGAGGTGTGCGGTCGGCCTGAGGCGTGCGGTCGGCTGAGGTGTGCGGTCGGCTGAGGTGTGCGGTCGGCCTGAGATGTGCGGTCGGCTGTTGGCAGCGGCGGTGAGGAGGCGCCTCCGGACGCCACCCAGCTGGCAGCCGGGCCGGCCCAGTACGAGGTGGTGCGCTGCGGCCTGAGCGGCCTGGACCTGCGTCTGCGGCCCAGCCGCGCCGCCCGCCGCCTGGCCGCCGTCCAGTACTCGTGCCGCCTGGCCAGCGTGGGCGAGGTGCGTCAGCGACGGCCCACCGCCGCCGCTCGGCTGCCGCTGGCACCGTCAGCCGTCTATGCTGCTGTGACGGTGGGAGCTTTACGTTTGAAGTGCTAAGTTGCTCCCTGGGAAAATACGGTGAAATGAAACAAAACGAGGCTATTATGAACGGCTGTTTTATGCCCGTTTTGCGAGCATTAAGCGAGCAGATATGTGGTTTAACACCCGTGTGTGCTGTATGGTCTGTCAGTGTGTTTCCACTGTGTCTTGTTTCCACCGTCCCACTGTGTTCCCATGTCGCGCTGGCCGGCAGTACGTGGACGGTGGCGACCGTTGGGTGAAGCTCTCCAACGAGTCGGTGTCCCGCTTCTGTCCGGACGCGCCCGAGGCGTGGGCGCTTGTATCCGATCCGACTCTGGTGTACCTGCGCCGCGTGCGACAGCCCGGTACGTGGCCGCAGCCTGCTGCTGTGGCCGGCAAGGCAGCCGGCACCGACGCTCTCGCACCCTCGGCCGGCCCGTCTGCGGCGCCAGTGGTCTCTCTCGGTGTTAATGCGTCAGTTCCCGAATGTGATATTCTGCTTGGACAGCCATGAAGTGACAACTGTGACTGAGGCTATGCACGGCTCCACGCCGTGCTTTCACGGCTATGCACGGCTCTTCGTTGGCCAGTTTTCGTTCCTCTCCAGTGCTTTAATTGTGTTCCTTAAGAAGAGTTCTGGATAGTGCAAACGCCATGATTTTCTTCAGTCACAGGGAAATTGTGGCGTTGCTTCGTAACGGCTACGCAATGGTCATTTAATATACTGTGAAATCTTGTGGCACCCATCTGAATAGTGACTTGTCCACACTCAACCCTCACCAAACGCCGCTGCCGCAGTGATGAACGGTCACTGCAACATGTCCACGTCCCTGCCGACCGCCACCGCCTTCAACTTCACCACCAACCTGAGCAAGAGCTTCAGCTTTGGTTGGCGTCCGTCGGGCGGCTCCTGCGGCGCGTCTCCGCCTGGCGGCGGCGCGTCCGGCTCCGGCGCCGGCTCGCAGCCGTTCGTGTTCGGCGGCCCCAGACAGCGTGAGTGGCCGCTGGCCCTGCCGGCTCTCGGCGCGGCCGGGTCTGGTCCTGCGCAGCTGGGCGCCAGACGGCCAGCGATGCAGACTTGCCGTTCGTTTCATGTGCCAGAAGCGCTTAAGGCCACTTGACAGTTTGGCGTTGGGTCTTATTTCTAGCGCAGGCGACTACACGGGCGCCTGTTTCCCTGGTATGGCAACGTTAACTGCGTGACGAATAGCTTCCGTTGATGAACAACCGCACAGTTGCTGCTATGACGGATTGGGCGTAGAGTGGCGTCGCTACACGAGCGTGCCGGGCTGGCCTCAGCGCCGCGTGAGCCGCGGCTACTGACGCGTGTCTGGCTGCGGTCGCTCCCGGTGGACGACGCACGGCACTGTATTAATGGCGCAGTCCCTAGAAAAGGTGCCCGGAGGCGTGCGGTCCAAAAGTGGTTCGCCGAGCCCGCCGGGCGCCTATACGATCGTGAGCATTGCCATGCTCCACAAGAGGATGCACGACGCATTGTGTCATGCGCCGTTCGAGAGCCTGTGGCGATCGGCGTGTTACGCGCTCCCCAGCGTGTGGCCATCGGCGTGTGACGCGCTCCCCAGCGTGTGGCGATCGGTGTGTGACGCGCTCCCCAGCGTGTAGCGATCGGTGTGTGACGCGCTCCCCAGCGTGTGGCCATCGGTGTGTGACGCGCTCCCCAGCGTGTGGCGATCGGTGTGTGACGCGCTCCCCAGCGTGTGGCGATCGGTGTGTGACGCGCTCCCCAGCGTGTGGCCATCGGTGTGTGACGCGCTCCCCAGCGTGTGGCCATCGGTGTGTGACGCGCTCCCCAGCGTGTGGCGATCGGTGTGTGACGCGCTCCCCTGCGTGTGGCGATCGGTGTGTGACGCGCTCCCCAGCGTGTGGCCATCGGTGTGTGACGCGCTCCCCAGCGTGTGGCCATCGGTGTGTGACGCGCTCCCCAGTAGGCCTCCCGCGACTGACCGATGCTGTGCCGTCTGCCGCGCAGCTCCGCCGGTGCCGCCGCGGACCGACCTCAAGCGGGACGGCGGCGAGGCGGCGACGGCGGTGCCGGCCGGCCGCGGCGCTGGGGCCCACAAGCCGTCCGTGCTGGACCGCTGGCTCAGCCAGGACCGGCGCCACGAGCACTCGCCGCCCAGGTGAGGGCGAGAGCGGACGCGGGGCGCGCGGGGCCCATGCGCCGTGACTGATTCCAGTGAACAGTGGTGCCGTGCTGCTGGACGGTTACTCGCCGCCGTCCGGGCACCCGCTGATTATGGGCCGGTGCGCACCCGTTATTTTTATGAATGTGCCCTACGGCTGTACTGCCTGAGGCTGACTGGTGCTGATGCCGAGTCGGCGCCAGCCCGGGCCGGCCGCGTCGCTGACGGCGCTGCGCGCGCTGCCGCAGGGAGAGCCCACCGCGTGGTGCGGCCGGTGGCGTCTCAGTGCGGGACGTGGTGAAGGCGCTCAGCGAGTCACGCTACAACGGCAACGGCGACACGCCGCCGCGCACGCCGCCCGGCACGCCCAAGCGGGTGGCGCCGGCGGCGCGCGGCTTCAGCCCCAAGCCCCCGCTCAGCCCCAAGCCGACGCCGCCGCTCAGCCCACGGCTGCCGGGCCGCACCACCAGCCCCCTTCCGATGCCGGGTGAGTGAGGCGCGGCCGTGCGCGGCGCGGAGCCGGCCTTTCCCGGGCGCCGGTGCGGCGCGTCTGCGGTACGGCGTCTCCGCCGGGCACCCTGTGGCGCCATGTGACTGCGTAGAGACTGTGCACCGTGACCTGGCGCACTTGTCCGCTCGCTGTCTGACATTGTGGCTCTGATGTGCTGTCCGCGTCGTCGGGTTTCGGTCCCGTAATGTGGTCTGCGCCTGTTGTTGTGCACTCTGAATATGTGCTGCCGATGTTGGACTGTGAGGCCGTAGTGTGCTGCCCAGCTGACTGTGCGTACTCGTTAGCAGGCGTGGTGGGCGGCGCCTCGGACAGTGCCGTGAGCAGCTCGCCGCTGGCCGGCCTGGGCCCGGCGCGCAGCCGCAGCCGCAGCTCCAGTCCGCTGGCCGTCCGACCCAGGCACGGCTCGACACAGGTGAGGCGGCGCTAGGTCGCCACGTCACCACAGCCCTGTGCCGCCATCACGGCCGTTGGCAGCCACACGCCGACGCTTACGGGGATGTCCACAGTGACACGGTCGATCGTTAACGCTTCACCAAGCAGCGAGGGAAGTGGTCGCTCGGGTGGGAAGTCAGCACTGCGTGTTCACGAGATCTTTCGTGCACCCTCGCGGTTTACGATCGAGCGTGGTGTGCCGGCGGGGTGTCCGCTGGCCGCCCCCTGGCGGCGCGTGACCGGGCGGCCGCCTCGCCGGCAGCTGAGCTCGAGCCGCGCCGACTCGGCGCAGAGCGACACGAGCGCGCTGCTCAGCTCGCTGACGCGCGACATGAGCGTCTCGCCGGCCGGCTCCTCGCTGCACAGCTACGCATCGGCCCTCAACGCCAAGGTAGGCGCCCTCGCCACGGCCGGCGCCCGGCGTCGGGAGGCGCCCTGGAACTATCGAGGCCGACGGGCTATCTGGTTGTGTTCAGTTTACTGTTCCATGTTTTACTGCTTCACTTTCTGTCCAGGGTGTGCGTTTTCTGCACGGCCCGTCGGCCCACTAACGCTTTGGGCGTGACGTTGCTGTGGAATGGGACCACCTTGACGTATGTGCGCGTGCGGTAGGAGGGCGGGGAGCGCTCGGCCGGCCGGTCAGTGGCCCAGACGGGCACTCAGACGTCCCCGGACGGCGCGCCGGCGCCGTCGGCCTTCAGTATCGGCGGCGGCGGGCGGCGCGCCGACGAGGCGCCGCGCCTCTCACCGACGCCGGTGCGGCGCGACGGCCGGCCGGCGCGCAGCAAGCGCGAGCGCACCAGCAGCCCGACGGGCCTGCTGCGCGACAAGGCGCCGGTGGAGGCGCCGCCGCGGCCGCGCCAGCCGCCCAAGGTGGGTCTGCCGCGACCGCTGCCCGTGTGTAGAGGCCGGGGTGGACGATATGCTCGACACGGTCATGGTTATGACGCGTCGAGCTACACGGTCTTTCTAAGGGAGCATGCATCGATTGCACAGATGCGCTGTGTGGAGCCTCAGGTCATTCGAGGGATCGGCGCCGGCTGTGATCGACGGCCGGTGATCCGTGTTGTGACCGGCGGTGTGGCGTCGTTCTGCCGCCAGTCTGCACTCAGCCCGTCGGTGGCCGAGTGCCAGCGGGCCGTGTTCGCCGCTTTCCTCTGGCACGAGGGCGTCGTGCACGATGCTATGGCGTGTGCCACCTACCTCAAGTTCCACCCAGGCGACGGGCGGCAGGCGTCGCCGGCACGCTCCGCCGCCGCCGCCGCCGGCCGCCGGCCGCAGCGGCACTCGCTGGAGGTGTCCGGCGGGCGGTACCTGCACGGCTCGCCGACCGACAAGCCGCGCCCGGCCGCTGACGACGACGACAACCGGTGAGAGGGCGCCCAGGCCCAGCGCGACGGCGGCTGGTGCCGGCTGGTGAAGGCTGCGCCAGCCACCGGGACTCGAACATGATCGTGATGATTTTCTGGAAGAGGCGGCCGGGGCTGGCCGGCAGGTGGTCACGGGATGTCAGTACGCCTCCCAGTATAGGATTAGTCACGCTGCGTTTCTGATAGCTTCGATCTTGGCTGTCCATATGTTCGGTCGGATAAACAGGCGTGCCGATCGCGAGTCTGCCCTTCTGTAGCCGGTGTTGGGGATTCGACTCAGTGTTGTCGCGTTGGGATGGACTCGGGCGAGCGAAGGCCGGGACGGCGGCCATCAGCCATCCCTCGGCCCAGCCAGGCCCAGGGCGGCGGGCCACAACCATCTTCGGCCCAGCCAGGCCCAGGGCGGCGGACCACAGCCATCCCTCGGCCCAGCCAGGCCCAGGGCGGCGGGCCACAGCCATCCGGCGTGGCGGCCAGTGCGACGACGGGCGGCGCCAGCGGGGCTGACCGGCGTCGGTGGCGGCCGTTTCAGCTGCGGCTTGGACGCCGGCGACTCGTCCGGGGCCGGGCTGGACACACTGCCCGAGCTGCGGGGCGGCGAGCCCGGCCCGGCGCCGTCGCTGCAGTACCTGGCCGCCATCTGGGACGGCCTGCGCACCATCTCGGCCGGCCTGATCGCCCAGCAGGTGCGGACCGCACGCGCGCTGGCCGGCCGCTTGCTGGTGCGCTAAAACGGAGGCTCACGCCTAGGAGTCTTTAATGTCCATGTGGATACCAGTCACAATGGGATTGAAGGCCTACTTCGACATATTTCGACGTCAACTTGAATGCAGTAGTGGTGATCACACCATGAAGTGGTTACCTGCTTGGTGCTGTCATTTGTGACTCCGTTGGCTGGGCGGTCGGAGCAGTGTGTGTGTGTGGTGTTGTCGCCATCCGGTCCCTGGGACGTGTCGGTGATCTGGTGTACGGCCGGCAGGTGGCGCTACCCAGCCCGAGCACGCCGCGGCCCCGGCGGCCCGACCGGCCGCGCGACCAGCGCGACAAGCGCGCCAAAAAGCAGCGCTCCGACCTTGACCCCGTCTCCGAGCTGGAGCAGCGCTGCGACCTCTGTCTGGGCCTCTTCAGTGACCTGGGCAAACACATGAAGCAGGTGGGCGCGCGGAGGTGGCTGGGCGCCGGGCAAGGGGTGCAGTGCAGTCCTGCTCTCGCCAGACGCGTGGGCGGCGCTGCTCGGCTGCGGGCTTCTGGACGCACGTCAGTGTCACGGGATCACATATGGGGTGGCCGCGTCATTTGTAAGTTGTACTAGTTTGATATGTGAAACACATGCTGGTCATCATTTCGATCACTATAGAGTTCCGCGAAGGTTTGGGCGTGTGGTGAGGGTTCCCTTGACTGTGTCCAGAATGTCATTTGTGAGACACCTATTCGTGATCGCTTTCAGAAAAGTAATGGCGGCACACCATGCCGACCTGCCATACAACCGGCTCCGACTGCCGTGTCATATGCGCCCCTGGCGCTGTTGCCAGTGTCTGTCTGACCCTGAGGGCTGGCATGACAGGAGTGCCTCCCCCTCCAGCTGCACCGGGGCATGGTGCGCCGCTGGACCCGGCGGTGACACGGGCGCCTCCTCCCCCCCCCCCCCCCTCCAGGTGCACCGGGCGTGGTGCGCCGCTGGACCCGGCGGTGACAGGGGCGCCTCCTCCTCTCCAGGTACACCGGGCGTGGTGTGCCACTGGACCCGGCGGTGACAGGGGCGCCTCCTCCTCTCCAGGTACACCGGGGCGTGGTGTGCCACTGGACCCGGCGGTGACAGGGGCGCCTCCTCCTCTCCAGGTACACCGGGGCGTGGTGTGCCACTGGACCCGGCGGTGACAGGGGCGCCTCCTCCCCCCCTCCAGGTGCACCGGGCGTGGTGCGCCGCTGGACCCGGCGGTGACAGGGGCGCCTCCTCCTCTCCAGGTACACCGGGGCGTGGTGTGCCACTGGACCCGGCGGTGACAGGGGCGCCTCCTCCTCTCCAGGTACACCGGGGCGTGGTGTGCCACTGGACCCGGCGGTGACAGGGGCGCCTCCTCCCCCCAGGTACACCGGGGCGTGGTGCGCCGCAGGACCCGGCGGTGACAAGAACGCCTCCTCCCCTCCAGGTACACCGGGGCGTGGTGCTGTGCGAGCTGTGTGGCGCGCCGCTGGAGCCGGGCGCGCTGATCGCTCACATGAAGGAGCAGCACCGCGGCTGCGGCCTGGCCAGCGACGGACGCGCCTACCACGTGTCGGGAGTGTACGCCGAGACGGCGGCGCGGCCCGACCAGTGCGGCGCCGCCTGCTCGGGCCTCTACTACCAGCTGTGCGTCGGCTGTCGTGAGCGGCACATGGCGGCCGCTGGCCGGTGAGAACGGACTCTGGGCCGGCCGGCTTGTCGTTGCCCGGCCGCCGGCACTGCAGCCGACGCTGCTTCCGGGAACGGACCGGGCATGGCACGTCGGGGTGCAGGGTCCACAGGCAGTACCGCTAGGAAATTATCGTAATCGTTTTTACTTTGTGTACCAAAACCATCTTCTGGTAATGATAATTATTTCCGAGCTGAGCACATGTCTTAATGTGCTGCAGAAAGACAGCAGAAAATTTTCTGTCGGACTTGTCATAACACCTTTGTTCACCAACAGCGGGACCCCGGGGCGGCAGACCTTCCCCCGCGTGCCCACGCCCTCTGTCGAGTGTGGCAGGCCTCGCTCCGGCTGACTGTCGGCTCTCACCGCAGGCCGGATGTGTGCCGTCGCAAGAAGACCAAGAAGCGCGCGGCGCCTGTGCTGCGCTCGCCAGCCGAGTGCGAAACGCACCGCGTCATGCGCCAGAACGCCGTGTTCCTTCTGGAGCTGGCGGCCGAGGACCCGGCGGCGCGCGGCGCGGCCGGCCAGCGCGGCTCGAGCGCCGCCGGCCTGGGCGCCGGCCCCTTCCCGGCCGTGGCCTTCCAGTGTCTGCACACGCTGGGCGGCCAGCAGGCGCACCTGCGCCGGCTCAAGGAGGACGAGCTGTCTGCCGAGCTGCGCCGCCAGAGCGACGCTGAGCAGCTGGCCGGCCCGGTCCGCCGCCGGCGGCGCCGCTCGGCCGCCCGGCCCGTCTCTGCCTGCGTGAGTGCCGAAGCCCGGCTGGCCGCGCGCGCCGGCCGCCCGTCTGGGCGGCGACGGCTCACTCCTCAGAGCAGGCCTCTACTCCCGCCAGGGTGCGTGTCGACTGGACCGCGAGCGTGCGTACCCCGTTCTGAGTGTGCACTGACTCCCTTCCAGGTGGGTACCTATGCTGTATCTGCTCTGAATGTGAAATCTCACTGAGATACGAACCCTGTTTGTTGCGGAGCAGTACGTCAAATCATGGTGGACGCGGTTTGCTGGTTCCTCGTGTCGCCTGGCTGATTATGTAAGTGTACCCGGCAGTAGAAGGCGGTGCTGATCCATGGTGTGGCGGTTTGCTGGCGTTACCCTGCCGTGCTGATCCTCCGACGCTAACCCCCGATGCAGATGCCGGACACGAGCCAGACGGAGGAGGCCGACGAGCCGGTGGCGGCTGAAGAGGCGGACAGCGGCGGCGGCTCCGGCGGCGCTGGCGCGGCGCCGGCGCGCGGCTACCACCGCTCGGTATCGGTGGGCACGTCGCCCGGCTGGGACGGCCGCGTCATCATGCTGCGGCGCCGGCGCGCGCCCAGCTCCGGCGAGCGGCCTGTGGCCGAGGGCGCCGCCGCCGGGCCGGCCGGTTTCCTGGGCCGGCCCTCGGCGCGGCTGCAGCAGCTGCGCTCGACGCTCAGCCTGTCGGCCGGTCAGGCTGACGTGCAGGTGAGGCTGGCCGATGGCCGACAGCGCCGGCGCGGTGCGCGGCCGGGCCGGGCCTGGGACGGCCCCACGTGTGGCAGGGTGGCCTCGGTGGGTGAGCGTATGAAGTGAGCGGTGGATGGGTGAGCACCGCCGAGTAACAGTGGGGCGACAGTGCGGTGGGTGTGGCGCTCAGAGCCGGGAGTGGGCGCATCCCGGGTAACGAGGCGGGCCTGAGCACGGTCACCGAGGCGGTGTCACGTGACATCTGAGCATCCCGTGTCCTGCCTGTACTGCAGGCTGGCCCTGGTTTGGTCAGCTGCCAGTCAAAAGAGCTCAGCACCAGCAGATGACCACCAACTTGAGGAGCGGCAATATTGAGTTAGGAAGCTCCGACAGCCGTTAGCATTGGCGAGGAGCTGCATGCCTTATGCGTGACTCCTCTGACGGGGCCTTTGTGACAGGTCCCCTACCGAGCTCTCGGTGTGGCCGCTGCGCCTCGCCGCCGGCCTGACGGCCTGCCGGCAGCGGCCTCGCCGCCGGCCTGATGACCTGCCGGCAGCGGCCTTGTACCGGCCGGCCGGCCGCCGTGGCTGCCGCCGGGCTCACGGCTCGCCGTTCGCGCCCTCTGTGCTCACGCTGGCCGCGCGCCGCCCCAGGTGCTGATGACCCGGCCGGTGGTGGCGTTCGTGCTGCAGCAGCACGAGCTCGGCTGTCTCCAGCGCGCGCTGACCAGGGCCATCCGCCGCGGCGCATGCAGAGTTTACGCTCTCCAGGTGAGCGCGTGGAGCCCGCTTCGACCCGGTGCGCGGGCAGAGCTACGCCGTTCGGTGTGTTGCGGCCGTCTGGTGGCTGCAGCACCTGTTACAACCTGTCACAAGGACAGACGACACGGTTGTCGGCGTCTTCGTTCGCGTGCGAGGCTCAGCCCGGTGTGGAGGCCTGCTGAGCGTCTACCGCCGCTGCCGGACTCCGGGGCGACGGGTCCGCCGTTTGGGTGCGGGTGGCGGCCGAGCCCTGTCCTGACCTCCACCGGCGGCCGGCAGGCGCTCAACTGGCTGCTGCGCAGCGTCACCCAGCCCACCTGCCTACACGACCTGCTCTGGTACTTCATCCAGTCGCTGACACTGGAGCCGGCCGCCGCCGCCGGCGACGCGCCGCCGCCGCCCGCCGACGAGGTGCGCCGGCCTCACGGGGCTAGTCAGAGTGTGCGCCGGCCTCACGGGGCTGGTCAGAGTGTGCGCCGGCCTCACGGGGCTGGTCAGAGTGTGCGCCGGCCTCACGGGGCTGGTCAGTGTGCGCCGGCCTCACGGGGCTGGTCAGAGTGTGCGCCGGCCTCACGGGGCCGGTCAGAGTGTGCGCCGGCCTCACGGGGCTGGTCAGAGTGTGCGCCGGCCTCACGGGGCTGGTCAGAGTGTGCGCCGGCCTCACGGGGCTGGTCAGAGTGTGCGCCGGCCTCACGGGGCTGGTCAGAGTGTGCGCCGGTTGGGCGGGGTTGGTCAGAGTGTGCGCCGGCCTCACGGGGCTGGTCAGAGTGTGCGCCGGCCTCACGGGGCTGGTCAGAGTGTGCGCCGGCTGGGCGGGGTTGGTCAGGGTGTGCGCCGGCCTCACAGGGCTGGTCAGAGTGTGCGCCGGCTGGGCGGCGTTGGCACGTGATCTGATGGAACGGGTACAGCTGGCGGCTGCGATGTGGCCGTCATTCCTGCCAGTGTGTGTGGGGCCTTGTAACAGGTCCTTTCGGGAAATGTATTGCTCGTGGCGTAATATTGAAAGATGGTGAAATGCCCGACTGGAATTTTTGGGCGCGGCTTTGCCGTCACAGGCATGTTTTGAATGTCGACTCCGACTGCGGGCGGCATAGACTCGGAGCTGCACGGTGCGGTGTCTTCAGTGCAGCGTGACGCGTGGGTGTTGTGCGCTCAGCCTTTGACGTGCGCGTGCCGCTGACGCAGGAGGACGTGACCGTGCTGGAGCACCCGCAGTCGGACGTGCCGCTGGCGGGCAGCACACCGCTGCCGGCCGCCTTCCACAGTCTGCTGCAGACCATCTCTGACCTGATGCCGCTGCTGCCGGGCGGCTCCAGTCTTCAGCTAATGGCCGTGAGGTGGGCACGCGTCTGTCGGGCTAACGCCGGCGGCGGGCGGCTCCAGTCTTCAGCTAATGGCCGTGAGGTGGGCACGCGTCTGTCGGGCTAGCGCCGGCGGCGGGCGGCACCATCAGGCTTTGTCATCGGGCCTGACACGCGTCTGTCGGGCTAACGCCGGCGGCGGGCGGCACCATCAGGCTTTGTGATCGGGCCTGACACACGTCTTGCAATCCTTCATGGGCCATGACAGTTGCGTGGCCGGATGCTGACGTTACGTGGCAGCAGCACGGCATCGGCCAGATATGAACGGCCAGGTGCCGCTGTCACCCATTCAGATCGGGCTCATTTGGTCCTGCAACCTGGGATGAAGGCACGTGATGGCGTGCCAGTGCCTGCCATGTCTTTTGTGTGATCCCCCAGGGTGTGTACTCGCGGCGAGTGGCCCTGCTTTCTGGCCGCCGCAGCCGGTCGTCTGCTGACCTGTGACGTCACGGCTGGCGCGGCCGGCAGGTGCCGGGGCCTGCCGTGTCTTTTGTGTGATCCCCCAGGGTGTGTACTCGCGGCGAGTGGCCCTGCTTTCTGGCCGCCGCAGCCGGTCGTCTGCGGACCTGTGACGCCACGGCTGGCGCGGCCGGCAGGTGCTGGGGCCTGCGCTTCCTGCCGGCCGACCACGGCTTCCTGCACCGCAGCCACGTGTTCACCAACATCAGCAGCATCCTGGCCGGCTCGGACGAGGCGGCCGGCGAGGAGGGCGCGGCTCTGTCGACCCCGCAGCAGCCGGCGGCCGGCGCCGACCGGCAGGCGTGCGTGCACGTGACGTCGCTGGTGGACGTGACGGCGTCGGCGGCGCTGGAGACCTCGTCCCGGCCGGCGCTGCTCGACTCGCTGACCGACGGCAGCACGGAGACGTTCTGGGAGAGCGGCGACGAAGACCGCAACCGCAGCAAGGCGGTGACGGCCGCGCTGCCGGCGCTCGGCCTCCGGCTGCTGGCCGTGCACGTGGACAACGTGCGCGACCTGCAGACCAAGGTGTCGGCCGTGACGTTCCGCGCCGGCCGCTCGGCCGACGAACTGACCCGGCTGCGCAGCGCGGCCGTCGATCCGCACCACGCCGGCTGGCTGGCGGCCGCGCTGCCGGCCGGCCTCGACGCGCGCCACGTACGCCTCGAGCTGAAGGGGCCCGACAACAGCCTGCGCCTGCGTCAGGTGGCGCTGCTCTCGGAGGGCGGCGGGCCGCGGCCGGCGCCGCCCGCCGCCACCGTCCGCCACCAGGCGTGCGAGGCCGAGACGCTGCGCGTGTTCCGGCTGATCGCCGCGCAGGTGAGCCCCGCCCCGGCGAAACTCACCCGGCTCCGAGGCGGCTGGGCGGTCAGACCGTGACTCGCCCGGCTCTGGGGCGGCTGGCCGGTCAGGCCGTGGCTTGGCGGTGCTGTTGACGGACGGGTGCGGAGGATGGCGACAGGCCATGCGTGACGCGCGTGATCTCGGACGTCAGTTGTGAGGGCCGTGGCGTCGCCTGAGCGATGCGCCTGCCGTCCCCAGGTGTTCGGTAAGCTGTTGTCGCACGACGAGGGCGAGACGCCCAGCGGCGGCGGCACGCCACACCAGGCGCCGCAGCTCGACCCAGAGACGGAGGAGGACACCGACCTGCGCCAGCACATGGTCTCCATCCTGTTCTCGCGCTGCAAGCTGACCCACCTGCAGACCCAGGTACGCCGCCGCCCAACTCCGGCGCGGAGCCTCACCAGCCGGGGGGCGGCCCGGTGGGCGCGGCCGGCGACAGCGGGGCGCACTGGCCAACCGGGCACAGGGCTAGGAGTCCGGTTTCTTGTCTGGCTGGGGGACGGCTCTGGTGGCACTCTCGACGGGGTCGTCGACTGTCAGCACGGGATGCTCAGTTACTGTCCGTTCCTTTGTGAGCCATGTAAGGCGATGTCGTTACGGTTTTCGTGATGCGTGCTGTATGTTTTCGT